CAGGTTGCAGTTTGTCCCCGGCCACGGTTGGTCGTGCGGGTGGCAGCCACTCGATGTGTCCCTTTCACGTCTATGTCTGTCTGTCTGTCCCTCCATCCCTCCCTCCCTCCCTCCCACTCTATCTGAACAAAAAATGGAAAAATGTCTTCGGGTGAGGATAAAAAAAAAAAAGACCCCCCCAAAGCAAGAGATACAACAAGCACTTTACAAAAGGATATATAAATGGCCCCATCAGCTTTTGAAAAGGAGCTGAGAATCCTTACTTACCAGGAAAATGTAAATTAAAGTAGACTTAGTATATTAGATCAGTAGCTCTCAAATTTTTGGTCTCAGAATCCTCTTTCCCAATCTTAAAAATTATTGAGGATTCCAAAGAGTAATGTTTACATAGTTTGTATTGATTAATGATTACCGTATTAAATAGTAAAATGAAAAAAAAGTCAATATCTACTTATCAATTCATTTAACAATGGCAATAACATAACCATTACATGTTAACATAACTCTTAATAAAAAAAGAAATGCCCCCCATTTTTCATGAGAAGAGTGCCACTGTTCACGTTTGCAAATCTCTTATGTCTGGCTCAGTAGAAGGCAGCCAGACTCTCACGGCTTCTGTATTCAATTCATTATGATAGTTTTGAGTTGGAGTTTTTGAAGAAAAATCCAGCCTCACGCCTGGAATCAGCCATATCTCTAAGAATCTCTAGTTCCTTATAGTGAGAAATGTCACTTAGTGCTTAGGGCAACAATTTTCAACCTGTGTGCCCCTAGAATGTTTAAAACATGCAGTACCTATTTAGTCAAGGGCACTGACCTCTTTTCTCTTAGACTGTTAAATAAAAAAATGACGCCCTGGCCGGTTTCACTCGGTGGTTAGAGCGTCGGCCTGCAGTCCGGAGAGACCCGGGTTCGGTTCCCACTAAGGGCATGTACCTTGGTTGCAGTTTATCCCCAGCCCTGGTTGGGTCGTGTGGGTGGCAACCACTTGATGTGTCGCTTTCACGTCAATGTTTCTCTCTCTCTCTCTCTCCCTCTATCTGAACAAAATATCGGAAAAAAAATGTCCTCGGGTGAGGATAAAAAAAAAAAATGACAACACCCAACACAATAGCCATCAGTGAGAATGAATCAACATTATACCTACTTTTTTGGTCAGATCAGCAAAAATATATATTTTTTGTTGTGCCACAGAATTTCAGTAATTAGTTTTTGTGTCATGAGATGAAAAGTTTGAAAATCACTGGCTTACGGTGATCACTGCTAATGAATTTCATTGCTTTTAGGCCTTCACAGTAGAAATAAGTAGGGGATCTGCTTTAAAAAAAATAGAATACATACTGACATTTCCAATACAATAAATATTAGAGGGTTTTTAACTTCTTTGATTTTTGTAATTATATCTTTCCTTTTTTGCTGGAAGTCTTCATTCCTAATGATAATTACACAATTAAACTTTATCTTACATATACTAATAATAGTTTTAAAATAACAGTAGCAATATTGAGATTAAGAATAGGTAAGATATGGAGCCCTGGCCAGTTAGTCTCAGTGGTTAGAGTTTCAGCCCTCAGACCAAAGGGTCTTGGGTTCGGTTCCCAGTCAAGGGCACATACTTGGGTTGCAGGTTCAACCCCCAGCCCCAGTCAGGGTTGTTTGGGAGTCAACCAGTTGATGTGTCTATCTCACACCAATCTCTCCACCCCCTCCACCTCCTTCCCTCCCTCCCACTCTATCTAAAAATCAATGAAAAAATATCCACAGGTGACAATTAAAAACAAAAAGAATAAGATATTTAGTATAGTCTGTGGTTCTTTCTGCACTTAGGATACATCACACTAAGAGTGAAAATACTACATGGTATTTCATTTTGATACCTGTTGTGTTCATTTGTTTCCATTTATTTTCCTTTTGTTTTTTAAATTCTCACCTAAGGATATTTTTCCATTTATCTTCAGATAGAGTGGGAGGGAGGGAGGGGAGAGGAAGAGAAGGAGAGAGAGAGGGAGAGAGAGAGAAACATCGATGTGAGAGAGACATTGAATGGCTGCCTTTTGCATGACTCCAACCAGGGCTGGGGACTAAACTGCAACCAAGGTATGTGCCCTTGACCGACTCTGGTCCACAAGCCGATGCTGTAACCACTGAGCCAAACTGGCAAGAGCTTATTTTCCATCTTTAAGGACTACTCAAACTTATAAAAAATTATGTAAAACATTATTTTATGGGTCCCAAATCACAAGTTTAAAACCATATATTCTTGTCCAGCTGGTGTAGCTCAACGGCTGAGCATCGACCCATGCACCAAGAGGTCGCTGGTTCGATTCCCGGTCAGGGCACATGCCCAGGTTGTGGGCCCAATCCCCAGTGGGGGGCATGCAGGAGGCGGCCAATCGATGTTCCTATCTCTCACCCCCTCTCCCTTCCTCTCTAAAATCAATAAAGAAAACAAATTTTTTTTAAAAAACTGAGGTATTTTACATTTTTTTAAAGTCTTCAAGGCCCCTGTGTACTTGACACTCACAGTACATCTCAGTTCTGACCAACTACATCTTAAGTGCCCAGGAGCTACTGCTGGGCAGTGCCTACTCTATCAGGCAGCGAAGCTCTGCACAGGACAGTTTACAGTAATTCTTGTAATTCTTGAAGGCAGAGAAGCTGGTTAGATGACAACACGTGGGAAACTGCAGGATAAAAACCTGGTTTCTCCTTCACCCGCCTCTTCTCCGTAGCAATGGCATGTGGAGAAATGAGAGAGGAGATGTAGAATAAAAGACTTAACAACCAAAACAGGGTATGGACTTTGGATCCTGATTCAAATAAACCAACCAAAAAAACCCCACCTTTGAGGTAATGGGAAATTTCACTCTAGATTCAAAGACATTAAGGAATTACTGAAATTTTGTCAGGTGTAATAATATGAGTAGCATTTTATTTACAAAAAGGGGGGGTGAGAATGACTTGATGCTGCTGAAGCTGATCTATGGGTAGATGAAGTTTTCCATACTATTATCTTTCTGGACAATTCTCATAAAGTTAAAAAAAAAAATCCTCATTTGGGCTAGAGAATTAAATATATACTTTCCTCTAAAATTCCACTATTTCCCTCCTGTTTTACACAAATCAGATGAAAATCATGCTATACATATTGATTATATATAATTATGGTAGGTAGAATCAAATTGGATTTTTTTCCTAAAAGCACCTGCAAGTGGAGGCCTATCTAGAAATGATGGTAGTAAACAAATTCCCCTAAGTCACTGATGTTCTATATTTTCCTACATATCTCCCTTCTCTAATGTTCATACATGTGAATTAGGTCATTTTTATATCCTACAATTTTTCACTTTGCAAGGTTGGGGAAACAACTGCAAACCGAATGAACTTTAATTTACACTAGTAATTCTGAAACAAAGTTTCTACTAAAGTGGGAAATTATCTACCTACAGTATTGTCTCCTTAATATCAGAGTTGTCCATTCAACCTACAGCAACTATTAATTATTCTACTGTCCTTTCTCACGTTCCCTGGAAAGTTCCCCCCAACTCTCCCAACCCCTCTAACTCAGTAAGAGAGGGAGACTGTTTTCCTACTTTGCCTCACTTTTACTTCCGTGACACCTGACACTACTGGCTGTCCCCCCCCACCCCCCACCCCCCACCCCTGCGTGCAGTGTCACCACGTGCCCCCACCTCACTCCAACGACCTCCAAACACAGGCCCCCAAACGCTGATGAAAACTGCCCAGAGGCCCTCTTTGCCTAACGCACGTGTTCTCTTCCCGGTTCCGCTATAAACAAGTCTGTCCACTTTCTGCTGGTTCTGCGCGTCGGTCCATACACGTGATTGGGACCAGCAACTCCGAAAACACTTTCTTAATAAACTCAACGACGGGCAACTTTTGAAACTTTGCAGCATTCGGCGCTTTACACACATTCTGTCGTGCAAGCGTCACCGTGACCCCGGCGGTGGGCACTGTCACCTCCTCCTGCGAGCCTGGGACATGGGCTCTCTCCGTCTCCCGCGGGCCTTCTCCCCTCCCCCGCCCCCTCCGAGTCCGCCCACGGCGGGTTTTCCCGGCTTCTCAACCCTGTCCTCCACTGGCCCCGCGCCCCGGGTGCCAGCGACGCCCCGCCAGGCGCGGTTCCGGGCTGCGCAGCCCGAGACCCGGCCTCACCTGTCCGCAGGCCCCGCCCCGCCCCCCACGGCGCTGACAGGTAGCGGCGGCCGCGCGGGCCCCGCCCCGCGCCTGCGCACACCGCAGACGCCGAGGCCCCGCTCGCTAGCCGCACTCTCCTCGCTCTTCAACACTGTTCGCGAACCCCCCTTCTCGACGCCACTGAGCAGACACCCCACTTTCTCGGGCTCTTTCAAAGACCCCTGTTGGCTCCTCTCAGCACTAAGTAAACACACCCGCTGGCCATCCGCCTTACCCAGCCTTCTCCGCGGACCCCGGGGGCGCCTTCCATTTGCCCTTCTCCTTGTCCTTCCTGGCTGCGGGCGCGGCGGCGGCGTCCTCCTCGAACACGCTGAAGAGCTCGTCCCCGAAGGCGTCCGCCATCTTGCGGCCTGCGGGCCCGGCTCCCGCCCACCGCCCACCCACGAGGCTGCGCGCCGCGCCGGCAACGGTGGCCCGGGGGAGACACCAGGCGTCGAGCCGCACAGCCCCCGCAGGACTTCGCTGACTGCTTTTCTCCCCCGATTTTCCTGCCTTTCCGACCTTCCGGACCTTTTCTTCCGTTCGGACCACAAGAGGGGTCACGGCTGGGGGCTGCGGCGGGCGCGCGAAAGCCAGGCACGCAGCCGGCGCGGGGGCGGGCGGGGAGGGGGCGGGGCGGCGGCGAGGAGGCGGGGCTTCGCCAGCCGGGCCAATCGGAGGCGGCGACCGTCCGGGCCCGAGAAGCCCGGATCGAGGACGCCGGCTGGCGGCGCGCGGCCCGGGCCATGTGAAGAATCCGGGGGCTGCACCGAGGGCGCGGGGCCTGGGCTGGAGCCGTCTTCCGCCGGGGCTGCAGCATGGGCGGCAAGAACAAGAAGCACAAGGCGCCGGGCGCCGCGGCCGTGCGGGCCGCCGTGTCTGCCTCCAGAGCCAAGGCCGCCGAGGCCGGAGCCGCCGCCGAGGCCCAGGCCAAGAAGCCTGTGGCCAGGCCGCCCGCCGCCTCCGGCCCCCGGGAGCCCCGCGTCAGGCCAGGTACGAGCGGCCGGCGGGCGCGGGCGCGGGCGCGCGCTCCCGCCCCGAGGGAGGGCGCCTGCGCAGACCCTAGTCGCAGCCTTGTCAGCCCCGGGCCCCCGGCCGCGTTAGATCGGCCCGAGCCGTTCGGGCCCCCGCGCCCCGTCTGCCCCCACTTTCCCCTCCGAGCACAAAGTAGAAATTGCGTCAGTCAGCGCCCCGAGTAGCTCCTGGACCCACGTGCTTCCGCCACCTGCGCTGCCAGCCCTTCAGCCACGCTGCAGCGGGGACGTGCGGGGACAGCGCGGCCCGGGACCTGCACGCCCTGCAGCCCTCCGGGCCGGGCCCCCCGGGACGCGGGCCCCGCACTGCGCTCACTGCGCGCGCGCTGTGGGGCGCGGACTTCCAGACGGAAGCCCGTAGCCCCGGCCGCCGTGGGCGCCGGCGTCAGTCCTGGAGCCGGCACTCGCTGTTCGCCCTGCTTAGCTTGTGTGCTTGCAGTTCTGGCCGAAATATCGTGCCAGACACGTGGTGCGAGCACCTCCTGCGCCTCTGCCCGACGTTAGGGACGGGCCGGCCGAACGGCCTCGGCCTCCACCTCCACCTCCCTCGGCCGGTCTGCTGCGGGCGGGTCTCCGCCGAGTAATCACGAGACCCCGCTGCGCAGGGAAGAAGAGCTAAGGGACCGGGTTTCACAGGATAGTCTCCTTATGGGGGGAGGGGGGCCTGGGTGGTCCCTTGGAGAGGGCAGTCCAGGGGAGATCGGGAGGGTGGGGATCTTCCTGGCCAGGACCTGGAGTCGGGAGGGGCGGAGGCCTGGAGGTGAGCAGGGAGCGTTGCCCAGAAGGGGAGAAGGAAGTAGGCAGGTGCACATCTTCGCTGGGAGGTGGGTAGTAACTCTTGGCCCTGCGACTTACTGGAGCGTCTTACCCACAGACTTCTTATTCCTGTGGTCACACACGCGTAGGATTTGCCCTGGACTGTTCTGTGGCACTCCCATTCTGTGAATCGACCTCCTCTTCATTTCTGACTCTGTCCTTTGCAGATGTTCCTCTGAATTCTTTGAACTCTCTAACAGCCATTTGTCTATTCTTGGGCTTCCTAGCCCCAAAATGGGACCCTTCCGAGTGTCAGCCCACGGCAGTACAGTTCCCTCTCGACCTCCCTTCTGGGAGGGTTCATCTACTTCCATTGCGTCTCTCTTTTCCTTTGTGGATGACTCCTCAGTCAACATGTCCAATCCTGGTCTCTATTCCAAGGCTCGACTCAGGTGGCCATTTCTACGTGGACTGTTTGGCCCTATTCTGCAGACATCTCAAATTTAACAAACTAGCGTCTCTTCTGACTTCCATATTTCGCTTCTTCCATATTCCTCTTTGTGTGATGTTGTTAGTTAATTTAGTTAATTTTGAGGCCCTCCTTTCTTCTCACATCCAGTCTTCTGCCGAGCTCTGTGTGCTGCTTCGCTGGTTTATCTTCCATGTATACCCTTCACTTGTCCTCTGTGTTCGTCACGTCGGTCTAGCACTCGAGGACTCCCGGAGTCCTGGCGCAGCCTTCTCGTGGATCCTCCTAGCTCTGCTCTTTTTCCTCCCGGAACAAGCAAGGATCAGGTTGATCTCTGACAAGCATCGCTGTGACCATGGCACTTCCCGCTTTTCTGCAGCACAGCAGCCTCACTGATGTTGTGACAAAGTCCAAACCGTTCAGCTGGCTCCCAGGCCCCCCTTTCCAGCAATTCCACTAATTCCTGTATTCGGCTATAGCAAATCTGGCATCTACTCTAAGTGCAGCTGTTGGCTTTCTGCTTCCTCATGCTTATTCTTGACATTTTCTCTAAATGGAATACCTGATACTATCGACCAAAATCCTGTAATAGCCATCCCAGATTTCAGCTCCTTTCTGAATTCTTCCCGTGTCCACAGCTCATGTGTCACTGTTGTTTGAATCCTTTTTGCAATTTAGATCTTGCCTATGGTATGTGAGGAAATATACATTTTATCTCTTCTACAGAATTTTAGGAGGTAGGAACTGTTGTATGAAATATATTAACGCCCCTCAGTGTCTGCTCCTGTGCTGTGCACGCAGTCAGTCAAGCAATTCATTGGATAAGGGAAAAGGAAAGATTTCAGAGGAATTTTTAAGGCCAAGAAATCAAGAGAGAGAAAATGAGAGATGAGCTAAATCTGTAGGGAATTTTTTAAAACAATAACATATATACAGCATAAATAACATGTTGCTACACAGATTGTCACATGATTTTTTTTTTTTTAATTATTTTTGCTTTGTGCCCTGGCCGGTTTTGCTCAGTGGTTAGAGCGTCAGCCTGCGGTCCAGAGAGACCCGGGTTCGGTTCCTGCTAAGGGCATGTACCTTGGTTGCAGTTTGTCCCTGGTCTTGGTTGGGTCGTGCAGGTGGCAACCACTCAATGTGTCCCTTTCACATCAATGTATCTCTCTCTCTCTCTTTCTCTCTCTCCTTCCCACTCCATCTGAATAAAAAATGGAAAAATGTCCTCGGGGTGAGGATAAAAAATATATATATATATATTTTTTGCTTTGTGTTTCTCTTTGTTTTGTTTTGTTTTTTATCCTCATTCGAGGACATTTTTGCATTTATCTTCAGATAGAGCGGGAGGGAGAGAGAGAGAGAAACATCCATCAAAGTGAGAGAAGCATCCAGTGGTCACCACCTACACAACGTCAGCTGGGCAAACCGCAACCGAGGTACGCGCCCTTAGCGGGAACCGAACCCAGGCCTCTCTGGTCTGCAGGATGATGCTCTAACCGCTGAGCCAAACCAGCCAGGGCTGGGGTATTTTTTTGTAACATATAATAGGACTACTTTCGAGATAAAAGTAGAAAAGCACACCAAAAAAGTTATCTCTGAACCGTATAGTTCCTAATGTAAATGCAGTTGTTCTCCACTTCCCTCGCTGTCTTTGCAAACAAACATTCTGAAGCACCGCATGTAGCCTGCTCTCAAAATCGTCCTCTCCAAAGGCAGAAAGTCACCGGTGCCACAGCGTGCCTCTTGGCACAATTCTGGGTGTTCTGCCACTCCTTTTTGTTTTCCTGTCATTTTATTTGTTCATCAAATAATGTTTGAAGAGCTGCTCCGTGTCAGGCAAGAGTTGAGGCAGTGGGGACACCCCAGGAACAAAGCAGACCGAGATCCCCGCTTTCGTGGAGCTTACGTGTTGTTGGGGAAGGGGGCGGGGGGGTCTTACAGCATTAGGCTTGTGTTTGTGAAAATCCTTAAGCCTAACTGAGACTTGAAATCTTCAGAGGGAAATAAGACTGGGGAGCTGATATCAAGAGTAAACTAATAAGAGCCATTGTCAATATTTATAGGGTCACCAAAATAAAACAGAAAAAGTACTACGAAGCTCAGAAAACAGTGACTTGGTAAAGAATAAATTGGGTGGTGGGGTCTGTTTTGGTCTAGGACAGGGATGGCTTCCCTGAGGAGACCTTTAAACAGATGATTTAAAGCCACCAGCTTTTGGAAGATAGGTGTTTGCAGCTGAGGGGACAAGGGCAAAGGCCCTAAGTGGGGCACATTGCAGGAAGGCAAGAAAAAAGTCCTGGTGAAGTGACAGGGCACTGGTGTCAGTATTAAATGGGACCGTAGCTGGTTTACATTGTCAGAGGACTAGACATGCGGTTCTGGAAGGGTGGACTTCTCACAGACCCTGACTGCTCAGAAAAACCAGGTCACCTTCATGTATTCCAGATACCCTGCACCTCTCCTTCACAGTTTGTTTGGACAATTAATTACTCCTGCAGACTTCGAGCTGCATGAGGACAAGGATTGGTCCTATTTGTCCCCGCCGGGTCCCTTTGCAGATCAGTACTGTTGGTTAGAAGGGAGCCAGAGGGCCTGCGTGCACCTGTCAGCAGCACTGTGACTCGAGTGTGGTGATGTGGTCACTGCAGTCACGGGGGGCTGTGCAGTACAGCACAACACAGAAGGAATATCTTCTGAAAGAGATCGATTCTGGCTAATGCTTCTTTAATCAGCCGCGTCATCTTGAGGAAATCACTTTCTGTGCTTCAACTTTTGTGTGTGTGTGTGTATTTTTTTAATCGTCACCTAAGGACATGCTTAGAAGAGAGGGAGAGAGAAACATCAATCGGTTGCCTTGTGTACGTGCCCCAACCAGTGATGAAACCTGCAACCCAGGCATGTGCCCTGACCAGAAACTGAACCGTCAACCCTTCGGTGCATAGGATGATGCTCAACCACCTGAGCCACTCCAGCCAGGCTCAGCTTTAATATTTGTGAGAGCCAATTATATGTGTTGCACTATTCCATGAACTTTCATTTATAAATTTGAAATCCATGAGACTTTTGCTTTGGAGATACTGCATACTAACATCCTTGCTTCCAGTCATATTTTCAATAACTTTATCTGAAACAGAAAACCAAAACGTATGGAGAATGGTCTCTAAGCAGCAAAGTAAGGAACTGTCAGAAATCTTAGGCACGTCACTCAGCAAAGAATGGGAACTATCTGTATGCCTTCGCCTGTTGACTTAGACTTGTGTTTGAAAATATGGTTGCTGATTTAAAAGTCTGAATGTCTGTTTTCCTCTCTGGTCCCTTCACTGTTTCCTAAGTGACAGATTAGAAGCTGGGGTGGAAAGCTATTAGGTTGACATTCTGAAAGGGGGCAGCTGACAGGAGAGGAGGCCATGCAGGCACCAGAGAGAAAGCAGGAGTCTCAGGGAAGAGTGAGTTCAGCCTCCGTGTAGCCTCTGCAAGCCCCGCGGTGCAGCACTGGATGTTCACGATGAGAAATGCATCATAAATGGCTTCACGTATTCCTGATTGTACTTTGTAGTGTGGTGGGAAGTATAAATACATTTTAGAAAGATTTCCATAGAAAGTTATTAAGATAGGCATTTCAAATTCTGAGATTTCCATTCACATTGATTAAAAATCTTACATGAACATGTTTTAGGAAAAATTTGAAAATGAAAGGGCCTTAGTGGTTTACTTGATTTAATTGGTGATGCCTTTGTGGCAAGATCTCATTATTGCTTCAGCTCCTCAGAGCATTGAGTAAAATGAAAACATTTTAGAGGCCCAGGTTGATAGCCAGTGAATGCACAGCAGGGTCTGATACATTCCGTCCTGAATGGGACACAGGCAGGGAAAGGCCATGTGAAGAAAGAGGCAGACAAGCCACATCTGCGGTCACCATGAGCCGGAAGAGGCCAGGAATGATTCCCGTCTGGAGCCTGCAGAGGGAGCATGGGCCCACTAACCCTTGAGTTTGGACTTCCAGCCTCCAGAACTGAGGCAGCGTTTCTGTGTGTTCAGCCACCAAGTGTGTGGTAACTTGCTGCACCACCCTAGGAAACTAACAGAGCAGATGACAGGGACTCGCACTTCCCTTCTACCTTAAGGGGCGCCCTCTCCAGAGTCATCTCTGCCAGAAATCTCGTCCTCTGAGAGGTCTTCCTGCAGCCAAGTTCCAGGCAGAAATGCATCCAGTTTTGCAAGTGGGAAAATAAAGGTAGATTTAATCTAAAAGACATATAGGCACTCACTTTATGGGAGAGTGATTAACCCAGAAAATGCTAATTGGTGAGATGTCCTGAAAACTGAGTCTTGTTGACTTCTAGATTAAGTTATTTGGTGAACTAGGGGAAAAAAGAGCTGAAATCAAACAATATTTAGCAACCTTTATAGGAAAATTAAAATAGTGTAATGGATATTAATCATTAAATTGCCTTGACTATTTATTCTCTCATATACAGGTCCAAAAATTTATAGTTTTAATTCTGCAAATGATTCTGGTGGTCCTGCAAATCTGGATAAATCTATTTTGAAAGTAAGTACCAAGGTTTTGAGTCATTTCAAGAAATGTTCCCCCTTTTTTAAAAAAGGTATATTCTTAAATATAAGGAGAAGATGGATATTTACAGTTTTTGTAAATTTAGCACACTAATTACTAATCTATACTAAATAAATCATACACATATGTTGGCTAATAAGAAATTAAACAAGGCCCTGGCCGGTTTGGCTCAGTGGTTAGAGCGTCAGTCCGTGGACCAGAGAGTCCTGGGTTCGGTTTCCGCTAAAGGCGCATACCTCGGTTGCAGTTCGTCCCTAGGCCCAGTTGGGGTTGTGTGGGTGGCAACCAGTCGATGTGTCTCTCTCACATGGATGCTTCTCTCTCTCCCTCCCTTTCTCCCTCTCACTCTTTCTGAAGATGAATGCAAAAATGTCCTCAGGTGAGGATTAAGGAAAAGAAAAAAAGACATTAAACAAAATTGGAGAAGTCCAAACTTGTAGGCATAGCATATCCTTTCTGATCTGACTTAGTGTATCATTTTAGCCTCCTCTTGACTTAAATGTTAGTTCACATTTCATTGTTCCCCCAAATCCCACATGATTTTATAACTGCAGGCTTTTGCCCTGGGCTCTCTGCCTAGAATGCCCAACTTCCCTGTCTCCGCTTGTCACATCTGTGACCGTGTTGAAGTCCTTTGTAAGTCACCAGGTTGATTTTCTTGGTGGTGTCATCAGCACTTCATTTATCTCTTTAATAATTACCATCTAGTCACAGTTTATCTTTATGTATGTTTTCTGTGCTATACTGAGTTCCTGAAGAATAGTCTTGTGCTTAATTCATGGTAAGCATTCAGTAAAGATGTAATAAAGGGAAGGATTTTTGTAGGTAGATGCTTGTATTCTTAGGTTAAAAATATGGAAGCAACAAACAATTAAATGGCTAATAGGAAAAGATAGGGATCAAACTCCTACAGCCAAAAGAATCTGTAACCTAATTACTGTTATCCCGATTTGACTTTTACTGGCTATGGCTCTTTTAGCGTGGCCTCTTTCAGGCTGCGAAGGGGCTGGTGTACATTGAGGCAGAGTACCAGGCTGCACACTGAGGGTTCTGATTCAGTACAACTGAATCAGATGGGGTTTAGGAATCCATCTTTGGAATAGAATCCAAGGGAGGTCCAAGGACAATGTCCTGAAAAACATGCCTTCAAGAGGCTGCAGAAGAGGATTCTGTTCTCGCCATACGTTTTTGCTTTTTCCACGTCCCATTTTTTCTTCAGTATATGGCAGGAATGTCATATAGTGAATGGCAGTCCGAAATATAATAATTACTATCGGATTAGCTGAAGTTTAGCCTTGGTTGGCAGGACATATAAAACTGTGATTTGCTTCAGATTATTTAGTTAGTAAATGTGATTTCATAATTTAGCTTCTAATTAATACAATCTTTTTGGTATCAACAGGTGGTGATTAATAACAAACTAGAGCAAAGAATTATTGGAGTGATCAATGAGCATAAAAAGCAAAATAATGGAGAGGGAGTGATTTCTGGAAGACTTACTGCCAAAAAATTACAGGTATTTGGCAAACATTTTCAGGTTCCTTATTTCTAGTGGAGCATTGTTAAGACAGTGTCACACATGAGATAAAGTCACTTTTAGTAAGTAGGAGAGCAGATAGTCTGAGTGGGACCTGAGTGGGACCCAGGTTCGTCCAGCTTTGGTGATGATGCTTTCGAAGGAGTGACTATGCTTTCCTTTACGTGTGACACACTCAGAGCACTGCCCATGATACTGAACAGAGACATCCTAAGTGGCCACCAGCGGGGAAACATATAATTAGATTATGGCTCATCTTCCCGATGGAATGCTGTGTAGCTGCTAAAAGTAGTGACGAGTTCTGCTAACTTGGGAAGATGCTTATGTTTTTACAAATTCATAGAAACGTGACTGGAAGGAAACTTATATCGTAGGAAATATCTTTAGTAGTGAGAATATGAGAGATTTCTCCTGGCCCTTTTAAAATTTATTTGTAGTTCTCAAATTCTCAATACAGTGAGCACATTTAATTCTTATTGAAAAAAATTTTTTTTGAAATTATAATTTTTGTCAAAGATTTGGGTTTAAAATGAATGGGAGAATAATTAGTTATGAAAGAAGAGAAAATTGCCAAGATGACTCTTTTAAATTTCTTTTTGCAGGATTTATACATGGCTTTGCAGGCGTTTTCCTTTAAGACGAAGGACATCGAAGACGCCATGACTAACACCCTCTTATATGGAGGGGATCTTCATTCGGCCCTGGACTGGCTCTGCTTGAACCTTTCAGATGGTAAACAGATTGACAGAATTCTTTCAGCTTCTGAAACCTTTTGAAGTAATTTCAGCGTGTATGATATTTGCATCACGCTTCTGACTTGTACTTAAAATTTTTTTCCCTGTGCTCTTATTCTGTTTTTATTCTTTTTGGTATATTCTCCTTAGAGGTTTAGTCTGTGCAGGAAGAAGCTATTTTTGTGTGTGTTGTTTTCAGTCGTTAATAGGCATTTAATACAACAAATTTTCCAAGTTTGCCTATCTGTAACCTATTAGGCTGAGTCTCCTGGTTTTGGTTTAGAAATTAGGGCCATCTGGCCTTGGATAAATAATATGTGATTAAGGAGAGGGTCAGGTTTCAGTCTTTGGCAAGAACCTGGAGCGCACATTGCTTGTATGATACGCAGAGGTATACCACACGCTGTAACGAGCAGCAAAGAGCAGGAACGTGCAGATCCTGTGGTGACACTAGCAGTCAGCCACATGGAGGGTGAGGTGGATGGATAGGCAGGTGGGCTAGCCACCATCTGATGAGCCTTCCCACTTCTGATCTGACAGTACACCAGGCTCATCGTGGGACTTCTGTTCTTAGGAGGTGAGGGTACAAGAAAAGCAGATGCTCTTTGTTCAGGCAGGTTTATGTGTGTGTTCACTGAATAATTGTGTTTTATTAGCGATGCCAGTTTACTTTCGTCTCAATCTCTCTTAAGATGCACTTCCTGAGGGATTCAGTCAAGAATTTGAAGAGCAGCAACCCAAAAGTAGGCCAAAGTTTCAGTCTCCTCCAGTGCCAGCCACTGTTCCATTGCAACCTAAAACCAAAAAGCAGGAAGAGGAGCCTAAGATTAAGGTAATGAAAGAATTGAACATTTAATGTTGGATAAAGTCAGCATGAAGCATATATAGCAGTTCATAAGAGGACAACTATTCCATTGCTGTAACATCTGTACTCATGTCACATAGTTTACGTCTGGTTTGCCAAACTTTCCGTCATTGTCTGTTTCGGTTATCTCTGCCTAACACCCCACTCCAAAATGTGGTAGCTTAAACCAGCAAGGCATTTTCTTCCATGATTCTGTAGTCTGAACGGGGCTCCATTGGGCCGTTCTTCTGTCCGATGAGGTGCCTCCTGGGGCTGGGGCCTCCACAGTGGTTTCTTGCTCACATGACCAGTGCGTCTGTGGGGGCCCAGCCAGGACTTGCTTGGGTTTCTTCACAATGGCGCTTCCTAATGGCATTTGCCTTTTAAGAGCAAGGATTTCAAGTTGAGAAGCCCTCACATACAAATCTTAACAAGCCCCTGCTTGTATCCCTGTTGCTAACGTCCATTCACTGAAGCAGCGGACATGGCTAATTCCCAGATCCGTGTGAGTGGTTACAGGAAGGAAGTGTGAGTACTGGAAGGTGTGGCTCATTAGGCATCACACTTGAACACTCCGCACATTGTCAACCATCTGGGAGCCTGGATGGACTAGAGGACATGCTGGTGACAGAAAGACAAACACGCATCGTCTCACTCACACGAGGAATCTGCAATGCCCAGAGGAGCAGAGAACAGAACAGTGGCTCCCAGGGCTGGGAGGAGGGAAATGGCAGTTGTTTACTGGTTGTAGTTTCAGCTGTGCAGGCGAGTAGGTTCTAGAGACGCGCTGTGCTACCTGCCTGGGAGGACAGCCCGGTGCCGTGCACTGCGAAGTACCGAAGAGGATGGCTCTCAGGCAGACGTCCTTCCCGCCCTGCCCCGCCCCCAGCCCAAACACACGCAGGAACCAAGGGATTTGGGGAGGTGACGTCCCTGATGTGTGGTGGTGACCCGGGTGTATGCATATGTCCAGACTCATCAAAATGAGTTTATATGCACATCATCTGTGCACTATAATATATAACTAGTATATAACATGTATTCTATTAATATATACATTAAACATGTGCAATTTTTATATATCAGTTATACCTCAGTAAAGCTTAAAAACAAAAGTCTGTGGAAGCACTGTCCTCATAAAACCACTGTTTTTAAGGAGTAACACTTGCTTTTTTGTTTTTAACAGACCTTTCATTTTTTTTGTCCCTTATGTAAACATATTCTTTGGATTATACGGGTGTAGGCTTTTCTGAAAGTAATGTTGAGTTCCATTCATTTGTCCTTTGAAAACATGATTTTTGAGGCTCGGTGTTTACTATTTTGAGTGAAGAAATTGTAAAAGCAGTGACACTTGATGATAGTTTTGACACTTTTTTCTAACTTTGGTTTTTCAGATATTTGTTTTTTATTTCTAGCCAAAAAAGGAAGAAAAAAATGTGGAAGTGAATATGAAAGAATGGATTTTGCGGTATGCTGAACAACAAAATGAAGAAGAAAAGAGTGAAACTTCTAAAAGTTTAGAAGAGGAGGAAAAATTTGACCCTGTGAGTAGAAAGTTGCTTCAGCAGCAGGAGGGCCGTCGGTGGAGGGTGGTGGTCTCAGCGCCATGACGTCAGAGATGGGGAGGGTGAGTGAGCGGGCGTGTGGAGGGGTCGCTCACCCTCCACCCTCCCGGTGCCATGCTGCTTCCACACCGCTGCCCAGAGCCCCACTGGTGTGCCTCCTCGTCTCCCTTCGCCCTCCCGGTACCATGCTGCTTCCACACCGCTGCCCAGAGCCCCGCTGGTGTGCCTCCTGGTCTCCCTTCGCCCTCTCGGGAGTGAGTCCAGCGGCACTGCGGTGCCCGCCCTTCCACATCCCGAGCCGGGTGCTTCTCCTCTGCTGTCCTCATTGACTCACTGAGAATGTAAACCGTGGCCAGATTCTGCTCAGCGCAGTTAAGTCCTTACGTTGTTTAACGTCCATTTTCTCCAGAGGCCACTTTTAATGTCTCTGCCTTCTGTAAGATAGAGGCCAGGGGAAGGCAGCTTTCAGATGAGCATTATTATATTGTTGCAATACAGTCCTTTAAATGTGCACATTTATGCCCTGGCCGGTTTGGTCACCCTCGGTCTTAGCTGCCCCTTTTTTCCCTAACATCTGACGGGTTTTCTCTAGAGATGCCCCACCCTTGATTTCTCCTTTTCCTCTCCAGTCGGTGTCGCAGTAAACTTCTGTGTGCCTGCAAGTCTGCACATTTGTATTATTTCTGTATGAAAAATTCATGAAGGTAGATTTGCTGGATCAAAGAGTAAGATTAAAGATCACAGGTTTTTATATAATCCGTTGACGGGAGATGACGTAATTGTGCTCTTCCTTTTATTTCCTTCTCATCTTACCCGGAACAGAATGAAAGGTACTTGCACCTGGCAGCAAGACTCCTGGATGCAAAGGAGCAAGCGGCGACCTTTAAACTGGAAAAGAACAGACAGGGGCAGAAGGAGGCTCAAGAAAAAATACGGAAATTTCAAAGAGGTAAACAAAACAGTTTTAAGTTCTTGGATGTGTAAATGTCTGTTCTTTATTGGCTTTACTAGGGTAAAGGTTATCTCTTTTAAATATGTTTTTATTTTTTATTTTTAAAAATATATTTTATTGACTTTTTAGAGAGAGAGGAAGGAAGAGAGATAGAAACATTGATGTGAGAGAGAAACATTGATCGGCTGCCTTCTGCACGCCCCCTACTGGAGATTGAGCCCGCAACCCTGGCATATGCCCTAACTGGGAATCGAACTGGGACCTCTCAGTCATGGAAGGGTACTCAACTCACTGAGCCACACTGGCCAGGCAACCTCCTTTTGATATGTCTGCTCTCCTTTAACAAGCTGTAGCCGGATTGGCAGGCATTCTCTGTAACAAGCTGGGTAGTAGTAGTTCAGGTTCCGCAGGCCGTCTGGGCTCTCACAGCCCTTCTCTCTGCTGCCACACGCAGAGCCGACGCAGAAGTACGTGAGCAAAGATCTGTGTTCCCACAGACTTCGTATGTGTGTGCCGAAACGTGGATTTCATAGTCTTCACATCTCCAAATGGTTCTTATCTTTTCATCCCATTAAAACGGAAAATCCTTCTCAGCTCAGATGCCGCCCAGGGCTGGGTATGGCCTACAGCATCATTTGTGAGCGTCTTGTACGTACTGTAAAACACCACCTCCATTCAAGGAGGGGTCAGTACGGTTCCACCAGTGCTTATTTGTAAGGAAACGTTTTCCAGGCCTTCTGTATCGGTTAGACGATTTATTTTAAAAATGTTAGTATGGGATGTGAAAGTAAATTACCTCTGACTTCCAGCACAAAGTCCTAGTCCTAGGTGGAGGTGTTAAACAACTGGCTAGGGAAAAGGATGTGTGTTTTTTTTAAACCAACTTTGCAAAGTGGAAAAGTATAAGAAACAAATACGTACAACTAAGCATCGTGATTTTTCTTGGTAGAAATGGAAACTTTGGAAGAGCATCCAGTATTCAACCCAGACATAAAGGTTTCACATCCACAGAATGAGAGGAAAAAGCCCCCTGTGGCCACAGACGGGGAATGTGCTTTGAACTTGAATTTGTTCGAAAAGTCTACAGCTGCTACTGAAGAAGAGAAAGGTAAAATGAAGGGAAAGTGTTCCAGAGTGTAATTCGTAACTAGTAAAATGTCAAGGAATTCATAATTAAGAAATTATGTTATTTTTCATTCTAGCAAACCATATAAGATGGCAGTATAGTTTGCTTCTACAAGTTGTCTTGGGAAAGTAATAATTATGATGATTTACTTGTGTAGCATTTTACAGTGTCTTGCATCAGCCCCATCCCTCTCCTGTTTATCCTCCAAACTCCTGCCAGAATTATCTGTCCATCACACAGATCTGAATGTGAGACCTACTGCAAACCTTTAGTCAGTGACAAGTGCAGTCCCTTGTCTTGTCACTGAATACTTGTCATGCCTCTTGCCACAGCCTACTTCCACGTCACGCTCCAGCTACGTTCTGCAGCCACATCCTTAAGAACACCTGTTGTTGCCCTGGCCAGTTTGGCTCAGCGGTTAGAGCATCGGCCTGTGGTCCAGAGAGACCCGGGTTCGGTTCCCGCTAAGGGCACGTACCTCGGTTGCAGTTTGTCCCCGGCCCTGGTTGGTCATGTGGGTAGCAGCCACTCCATGTGTCCCTTTCACATCGATGTTTCTCTCTCTCTTTCTCTTCCTCTCTCCCTCCCACTCTATCTGAACAAAAAATGGAAAAATGTCCTCAGGTGAGGATAAAAAAATTAATTAAAAAAATGTTTAAAAAAAAAAGAACACCTGTTGTTGCCTGGCTTCGTGGCTTTGCTCCTCCTGGTAGCCCCTGCTTCGCCAGCCTTTCCCTTGCTTCACAGCTCAATTCCACCAGTGCCTCTCTGTCAGCCTTTCCTATTCTGGCCATGCCATCAGCATGGACAGTTGTGTGCTACTTTGTGCCAAGTAAATTACTGAGCTAGCTAGTGTGGTATTCATCAGTCTGTGATATAGTCAGTCATGTCCCATGAAATTCTTAGTTCTTTTAAGTATAGACCCTTTCCACAAATATTTGAGTCCTTATTTTGGACAGTTATTTAACAAAATAACCCAGTACCCGCCCTCAGCTGTACAGTCTGAAGGAAGGGAAGCTTTAAACATAGGCAAATAGATTATTACAGATAGAGGTGTGTGCTATCAAGAAAGAAAGCCCTCCCTGGCCGTTTGGCTCAGTGGTTGGAGCATCGGCCTGCGGACCAGAGAGTCCTGGGTTCGGTTTCCGCTAGGGGCACGTACAGAAAGAAAGAAAGAAGGAAAGGGGAAGGGAAAGAAAGGGACCTGCTGATGAGTTGGAGACTGCTTAGGAGGTCTTAGGTGGAAGAGAGCTCAGCACAGCCTGTTCCACAAAACACTGCCTGGGACGTCCTGTGTCTGCCCTTTCCAGTGTGGCGCTACTGGCCAGACGTGAGGACGGAGCATTTGAAATGTGACTGGCACAACCGAGAAACAAGTGAACTTTTAGTTTTAATTAATTTAAACTTAGCCACATGTGTTGGGCCAGGCGGGCTTAGAGTGTTGAGGAATTGACGGACAGCACAGTGAGCTGCTGCAGGCAGACCATGGAGGGCTTTGGGGAAGCTATTTTATACAGAACAGGAAGCCACTGAAGGTGTTGGCGGCAGCTGCTAAGTAGAGAAATGACATCTGATTTGCATCTTTTCTTTTTTTTTTTTTTAGCCTCACCTGAGGACATATTTTCGTTTTTTGTTCAGATAGAGTGGGAAGGAGAGAGAGGAAGAGAGAGAGAAACGTGAAAGGGACACATCAAGTGGTCGCCACCCGCATGACCCAACCAGGGCCGGGGACAAACTGCAACCGAGGTACATGCCCTTAGCGGGAACCGAACCCGGGTCTCTCTGGACCGCAGGCTGACGCTCTAACCACTGAGCAAAACCGGCCAGGGCTGATTTGCATCTTTTCAAAGGTGGCCCTTCCTGTGTGGCAGCACACCAAACATTGGAATTCAGAATACCCTAAATAATCCATCACATGGAGAATATGAGGTATTTTATGAGGATACATAAGTTACTCAAGGTAGTTTTTTATAAAGGTCCAGATTTCCATTTTTCTCTCCCTCAAGAGTGTTTCTATATAGCTTTTCCATCTGTCCTGTCTTCACCTACTTCTAAAAGTCTGTTCACAAAAGTGAGAGGACTTGGATCACGCAGGACATTGTGTGCAGGGTGGAGCAGAAGTAGGTTTACCATCGTGAGTACGTGAAACAAAGAGTTAATAAAGCTTTTGTAATAATCATACCCTTCATGTCTTTTTCCATAGGGACAACTGGAAGCCTACTTTTGCCCTGCTCTGTGTTACTGCATGACCATTTTTAAAAAAACAATCTTTGTCTATCATTTTAGAGAAAAAAAAAGAAACTCGTGATGTAAGAAATTTTGACTATACTGCTCGAAGCTGGACTGGAAAATCTCCCAAACAATTTCTGATCGATTGGGTCAGGAAGAACCTTCCCAAGAGTCCGAACCCTTCCTTTGAAAAAGTTCCAGTAGGTAGATACTGGAAATGTAGGTATGTCTTTTGTTTGTTTCTTCCTTTGTTTTGGGGGAGTTTTTTTGGTTTACTGAATGAACTCTTAGAAAAATCAAAGATGAAAATCTTGTTTGTTTCTTAGGAGTTAAGTGTAGATTTAGGAAGCCGTCTACTCCCACATCTCAGGTGGGCAGTGCTTATAAATTATCAGTACACGTCTTCCGTGGGAATACTTAATGTAAATCATTAGTGTGAACTTAAGTTCAGAGTTTGTGGAATTCTGACTATTTTTCCTTCATCAGTTTTATTTAAAATTCCTTTTGGCCTGGCCTGTGTGGCTTAGTGGATTGAGTGTCGCCCCATGGACTGGGAGGTCCTGGTTCAATTCCTGGTCAGGGCATATGCTCGGTTTGTGGGCTCGATCCCCAGTAGGGATATGCAGGAGGCAGTCGATCAAAGTTTCTCTCACGTCGATATTTCTATCTCCCTCTCCCTTCCTCTCTCTCTAAAAAATCAATAAAAACTCATTAAAAAATAAAAGTAAACAATTTTTTTTGCTTCTCTGCAGGGTAAGGGTGATCAAGTCTGATGACGATGTACTAGTGGTATGCCCTGCCATCTTGACAGAGGACGGCATGCAGGCTCAGCACCTGGGGGCTACGCTGGCTCTCTACCGTCTGGTGAAAGGGCAGGTGAGAGTCAGAGCTGTGCTGCCTGTCTGCACAGAGCCTGTCTGCGTGCGGGTGCCAGCGCCTGTTGGACTGTGACCCTCTGGCCGGTTTTCTCTCTACCAATTGCTTATTCTGAGTGCTCCTCATTTCTGCTTATTTGTAATCTTGACTTCCTCTCACCCCTAAATGTCGCTTGGTCTTTCTCTCCTTCTGCCAGAGACTCTGAGATGTTTAATTGGTTCAGATTTTCAGGCCATGCCAGTTTACAGATTAAAATCATTGTGCTGGGGGCGTGAATTGAGAATTTTTAAACAGTTATTTTTAGTGTTCTATTGTCTCTTTTTTCCTTGTTTTTAATTTTTATCCTCACCTGAGGACATTTTTCAATATTTTGTTCAGAAAGAGTGGAAGGGAGAGAGAGAGAGAGAAACATCGACGTGAAAGAAACACATCGAGTGGCTGCCACCCGCACCACCCAACCAGGGCCCGGGACAAACTGCAACCGAGGTACGTGCCCTTATGGAACCGAACCCGGGTCTCTCCGGACCACAGGCCAACGCTCTAACCGCTGAGCCAAACTGGCCAGGGCTATTGTCTCTTAATTTTAAAATATTTGTAGGTATTGGTTCCAGTTTCAGCTTTAAGTTGTATTAACTGTAAGCTACCAGTTTAAGGAAAAGTCTTTCACAGTGGCACTGGGGGGAGCACTTACAAGAGAACACTGTGCTGCTCTTTGGAGAGGATTGTCCACGCTTCCTTTTTACAATGAGTATCTATATCTTCTTCACGGGAACTAGAGCCACTGAAAATTGCAGACACTGAATAAGTGGAACTCCACATTTTCGACAGTCAGTTAAAGTTCTTAATATCTCTGTTTCCCTTATTTTACAAAGTAAGGCATCACAAACTAAGCATAATTGATAAAAACGGACATCAACGCTGTAGAGATGATTGTGGGCTCTCTCATGGCACGGAATCAGGGTCACGCAGACTTCATCCGCCCACATGGCGCCCCTCAGACCCCGTGCTCGATAGAGCACAGCAGCTGCGTGTCACAGGGCTGTCTCAGACGTGCTGTGCCACCTGCACGCTCCTGTGGCTGCACTGTGGGGACGAAAGGGCACGTCTGCTCAAGCACTTCATGTTTTGTAGGAGTAGGCACTAAACACGTGTTAACCAAAACTTAGCCTTAGAGTATGCCAGAACACAGGCAGTCATTACCCCATTTTACAGTTGGAGAAACTGAGACCCAGAGAGATTGTCATTTGCCCAAGGTCACATTGCTGGTCACTTAGAAGCCTGGCTAGGAAATGCGGTCGATCAGTGTGCACCCTGTGCACGTGACCTTTCACTGAAGTGGTCACGACTGACAGGCCAGCAGCAGGAGGGAGAGCCGTCCTGAGTCCTGACTGCGGGGTGGGCACCCAGTTAGTGCAGGTAACATGCTGCGTCTTCCTCCCTTACAGTCAGTTCACCAGCTGCTGCCTCCGACGTACCGAGATGTTTGGCTGGAGTGGAGTGATGCCGAAAAGAAAAAGGAAGAATTAAATAAAATGGAGACCAATAAACCGCGGGATCTTTTTATTGCCAAGCTTCTGAATAAAGTGAAACTGCAGCTTCAACAGCAGCAGCAGCATTCTGGGAATAAGAGGGAAAACTGTGAAGATCCTGAGGAATCCTGGGAAAACTTAGTTTCTGATGAGGATTTTCCTGCACTGTCCTTGGAGTCAGAAAAGGCAGAAGATTTGGAACCTGTTAGAAACCTCTTTAGAAAGTCACAAAGCACACCTAAGTACCAGAGACTTCTAAAGGAAAGACAACAGTTACCTGTGTTCAAACACAGGGACTCGATTGTTGAAACTCTTAAGAGGCACCGGGTCGTGGTTGTGGCAGGTGAAACAGGGAGTGGTAAGAGTACTCAGGTACCACATTTTCTCCTGGAGGATCTGCTTCTAAATGAGTCGGGGACAAGTAAATGCAACATCGTCTGCACCCAGCCCCGGAGAATCTCGGCTGTGAGCTTAGCCACAAGAGTGTGTGATGAACTGGGCTGTGAAAATGGACCTGGAGGAAGGGTAAGATGTCCACCGCCACCTCGGTGAATGGTGCCGTTGCCCACCTGTGCTCTGGGACCCACGTGGAACCCGCACCAGATGGCAACCTGACTGGTGCTGGTCACCCACTGGCACATTGCTCACTGCACATCTCAGGCGCTCGCCACGCTGTTCGATGGGTGTGCTGCTGTGCCCCTCTCCTCCCTGTGAGCAGAGTTCAGAGTAGTTCTGTCATTAAAATGCCTGTATTCAGATATTTACACACTACATTGAGCGTTCAAAGATTACAGACAAATACACTTTGACTCTGATACCACGTATTTCAGGTTTTTGCAAGTCTTTTCTATAGAATGTATTTCTGAGTGGTTTTCATTCATTCTTTTCATTGAGCAGAAGGGGAAAACAATGTAGAAGAAAATTCTAGACTATTTACAAACCCTATATTTAAAACAAAATAGAAAAAGGACTTCAGTATCTCTAGTGCATTTTGCCATAAAACTGGCCTAACCTTAACGAGAGTGACTGCTATAGGAACGCATGAGACTGGTTAGAACCAAATATGAATTCCAAGTTCATAGAGCTCAGCTTAGTTATACTCTGAAGTGTTCTTTCCAGAGATGGCACTTAATATTTTTGTCTCTATCGTTAAGATAGGTATCTCTTCATTAAAAAAAAATGTTCATGTAGCAAATTGTTTGGGTTTCTCTCATGGAATGTAAAAGGAAAAAAGATAACTTATATTAAGAACTTATATTAAGGGAATGACAGAGGTATACAAATGAAAGTGAGGTGTCCAAGGGAGCGAGAGAGAGAATGTGATGGGAATGGACATGACTTCAGGACGTCCATCCGTCAGCACTGGCAGGAGGCAGCTGCTCTGCTGGTGGTGGCTTTTATGAACTCTTGACAGAAGAGCAGACTGAACTGCAGGGTCTGCTGAGGCTTCTGTCCTGAGTGCCGCAACATTGTCTCCCAGATAATTGAGTAGGAAGTGACCTAAACACCTAGTAATGTGTTCATAATCCTGCTAGGGTACGCAAAGCAGAACAGCTTTTTGTCTCAACACTTTGGAAAGAACAAAGGGTTTTCTTGTTTATAATGAACAAAAATGTTACCGTTGTCTGTGGCTGAAGACCAGTTTTGATAATCAATTGCATAAGTTGGTTTACTTCCAGCACTCCATCTAGTAACAGGCAGCCTGTGTCTCACTTCCTAATGCTCGTCTCCCAGGCAGGTCACGAGTGAGAATCTAACCTCACCTTGTGTACTCCCTTCAGAATTCTTTGTGTGGATATCAGATCCGGATGGAATCTCGGGCTAGCGAATCTACCAGGTTACTCTACTGTACAACAGGAGTCTTACTAAGGAAACTTCAAGAAGATGGTCTCCTAACTAATGTGTCTCATGTTATTGTAGATGAGGTGAGTAGATTCTGTAGTCATATTCACAAATTCTAACATTTTTGTAGTAAAAAGATGCTACTTGTAACTAATACTAGCCAACATTTTCTTTGTGCTTATAAATGCTGGACACTTTACATATAATTATTTAATTTTCTCTAACAAATGTCTCGTGTTGATTTATTTAGTAAATACTGTATAAACATCTGCTACATGCTATATGCTGTTCTAAGGACTTTTATATATAAACATGTGTGTGTAAATTAATTTAGTCCCCCAGCAATCCTGCGTAGATAGATATTCTTCTCTCTGTTTTGCCGTTCAGGAATGAGACAGGTTCGATAGCTGTGCCAGTTCACATAGCCAGTGAGTTCTGCAGCCGGGGGTTCAAGTCCAGGCAATGGGCTGAGTCTGTGCTCGTACCGTCGGCTGCCTCTCCACTACATTCGGTTGTTAGAGGATTTTCTGATTCTCACAGAAAACTTCATCAGTATGTCATTTTCTCTGTAGACATACTGGTACTTGAATCTAATTTGAATGCACACTTAAATTGAACTCTGCCAGAAGTTTCATGTTAGAATTATTCTAAATGGCATACTAGTCTAGTATATGTAAACTAATTTGCTTTGTACATATTTTTTTCAAGAAGAAATAAGATAGCATTTCTAGTAGTCAAAAACATTTTAAAATTTTCCCTGATGAAAAGTTTTTATGAATGTATGTTAATTTACTAAATTCAGGCAGTAGTGAAAGTTTAGTCATTCACTGATTTTTAATTAATAGACTATGTATAGATTATTGGGTTATTTTCCTCCTTTTGATTAAAAAAGTACTAGAAGTACAGACAAATACAAAAATGAAAAATAAAAATTATAATCTCATGACCCAGAAAAAAATCAATGTTTAATTTGTATATTTATATATGTGTATATTTAGTATGCATATGTATATAATTCATGTCATTAATCTACAAAAACAATACTTTTTTTTATCCTCACCCGAGAACATTTTTTGTTCAGGTAGAGTGGGAGGTGGAGAGAGAGAGAGAGAGAGAGAGAAACATCGACGTGAAAGGGACACATCGAGTGGCTGCCACCCACACGACCAACCAGGGCTGGGGACAAACCGCAACTGAGGTACGCGCCCTTAGCAGGAACCGAACCCAAGTCTCTCTGGACCGCAGGCTGATGCTCTAACCGCTGAGCAAAACTGGCCAGGGCCAAAAACATTACTTTTTAGTAGCTTTATGTTACATAATTTTGATGTTCTATATTTACTAAACCATTTTCCTATTGTTGGACAAGTTTAATATTATTATTATTTTATTTTAGAAAGAGGAAGGGAGAGTGAGAAAGAAACATCCATCAGTTGCCTCTTGCACACGCCCTGACCAGGTATTGAACCCATCACCTTTTGGTGTACAGGACAGTTCTCCAACTAACAGAGCCACGCGGCCAGGGAAGACATGTTTAGATTAAGATGTTTAAAATCTAATATTTTGGTAATAGATAAGTGATAGGAATTCATTTTTATTTAGGAGTCTTGATTCTTTAATAGGGGAAGAAATTGTGCTATCATCACTAAGATGTCAAAGGGAAAGAGGATATAGGCCGAACCCTTGGTTGCTGCCCTGGCTAGCAGCAGAGGCTGGGGTGTCACAGCCATAGCTCTGCATGGTGGAGACCTAGATTTGTCAGTATCCTCAAGGAATAACATAAGTCAAAATGCTAATTTATTTATAATAAGAAAATTGGGTAAGTTGAAGTATTTCTAAGAGCTAGTCAGTTTTCTTGAAGCTCCAATTTATCAGAAAATTGCTTGGTAAATATGTATCAGGGTGAACCCTAATGTAAAGGCAAGCCAGACCAAGTAATTCAGGAGACTGTTTCTGATGGTGTCGTATCAGCAGTCTGGAGACATAGTTTACTGACCTGTGATGCCGTCCATCTGGTGAACAATCCCGGGAAATAAGAAGAGGGCCCACTGCACTCACTGTCATGATCAGTAGAAGGGTGACGCAGTGTTGTGCCAGAGCTCATATCCCGTGGAGCCTTATTCACGAAAACGCTCAGGATAATACTCTGGCTTTATCGTTAGGAGTAGCTTGCACTTGGTTTTAGTTTATGGTCAGTGTGCGGCTTAAGTAGCTTTTCCTGCTGGCTTCTGGTGTATTTGTGCCCATATTTTTTGCCCATTTCTCCCAAGTGTACTTAATAGAGTATAGAGTTTTATTGGCTCTATTTTATGTTCTTTCCTTATTTTTCCTTTTGTTTAAAAAAAAAATCAGTATATGTATAAATTACCATCTATTTGATGAGATTCCCCAGATTTGTTTTATCCATCAGGAGGTCTCTTTGTTGATCTTCAGACATAGATATCCTGGTCAAGCTACCAAAGTGAACACATTCAAGATTATTCCTTTTTCTTTCTCCCACATCCCCTGAATCAAAACTCCTAGACCGCCCTGGCCGGTTTGGCTCAGCAGTTAGAGCATCAGCCTGCGGTCCAGAGAGACCCGGGTTCAGTTCATGCTAAGAGCATGTACTTCGGTTGCAGTTTGTCCCCAGCCCTGGTTGGGTCGTGCAGGTGGCAGCCACTCGATGTGTCCCTTTCACGTCGATATTTCTCTCTTCCTCTCTCTCCTTCCCACTCTGTCTGAATAAAAAATGGAAAAATGTTCTCGGGTGAGGATAAAACAAATTTTTTTTTTTAAACTCCTAGACCTGTTGACTCTCCTTTCCTCAAATTCACTCACTTTTCTCCATATTCACTAGGATTGCCCTGATATAGGTCACCATTGTCTCTCTACTTACTGTAAAAGCCTCTAATGTCTTGCATTCTGCTGTACTCTCCTCCACTATGGTCACATTGTAACCAGAGGTATCTTTTTAAAAACAAAATTCAGACCACATGATTCCCCTGCTATAAAATGTTTCATCACTACCCTGACTCTGGATGGGGTCTCAACTGCTTCACCTGGTGTACAAGGCCTTACCTGGGCAGGCAGTACAGTTTTCTGTTAGTGGCAGAACTCTAGGAGTCTCCTGGCTTCTAAGTGAAATTTGGGAGATGCCTGGTCTTACCAGTGTAACGCTTGCAGCAGCCGCTAAGGGGGAGCTCTACAGCTTGGCTGACGTTCATTCTGTGCTGGGTTTGCTCTTTCGTTTTAGAGGGGACTTCGTGTCCAGTTCTGAAGACCTGCCTTACTTGAAACACACAGCTTCTCCCTCCCTCACATGTACTATGTTTAAATATTGATGAACTTTTCTATGTGAGTTCATCATATTTTTAATTTGATCAATCTGATTATTTTAGCCTCTCCCGAGGCCTTATAAATGGTTTGTTTTCTTACTCCCTTTTACGCTAGGTTCATGAAAGAAGTGTCCAGTCTGACTTCCTACTGGTTATCTTGAAGGAGATCTTACAGAAACGGTCCGACCTGCACTTGATCCTCATGAGCGCCACTGTGGACAGTGAGAAGTTCTCCTCGTACTTCACCCACTGCCCTGTTCTCAGAATCTCAGGAAGGAGTTACCCTGTGGAGGTGTGTTTTCTGTGTCATCCATGTGCAAACAGAAGCTACCTTCCCACCAGGGTGCTTCCCGGCAGGTGGGCCTTGCAGGCTGAGGCAGAAGTGTTTCCAGGGTGGTGGTCGGGAGGGGACTGTAGGGGGCCTTGGGAATCAGAGGGCAGCTGCGGCCTTGACTCGGGTGGATCGGCTGAGGACAGCCGAGAAGTGCAGAACACAAGGCACACCTCCCTATCCCCGCCGCTAGGGCAGAGTGAGGTGGCTGCATGGCAGGAAGGGTCCCTCTCACCCGCCACTCAGACAGGCGTGGCTTTGACGCTTCCTGTCTGTCTGTTCCGGCCTCATCAGTTTTCACATGTGAGAAGTACACACCAAACCGTAACGGGACCTGAGACTTCTAGAGACAGACTCATCAATATCAGCGAAGTTCTTTAGTCCCAAATAAGCAGAAAAAGCTTTTTCCATAATATTCTAAATTAGCATTTGGTGGCATCCAGAAGGTGACAGCCCCCTTGTTCTCTTTAAATGGTATTTACTGAAATGAATGTGAGTTCACCATTTAGGTGCCTCGATCTATGCAGGTTTTCCATCTTGAAGATATAATTGAAGAAACGGGCTTTGTACTGGAGAAGGACTCAGAATATTGTCAGAAATTTCTGGAGGAGGAAGAAGAAATAACCATTAATGTTACAGGCAAAGCAGGGGGAATAAAAAAGTATCAGGTAAAAAATCTTATTGTTTTTAATTGTCGCCTGAGGATATATTTATTGATTTGAGAGAGAGAGAGAAACATAAACATTGATCGGTTGCCTCTCATATATGCCGCAACCAGGGACCAAAGCTGCAACCTAACCGGGAATCGAACCCACATCCTTTTGGTGTATGGGACAATGCTCCAACTGACTGAGCCACCTGGCCAGGGCAAAAGAAAACATTTTGAAAGATATCTGATTATGCTACCCAAATATAACCTGAAGAGTTTTAAAACCATGCTGGTACAGTGGATTCCAGTATAATTTGGTAGAAGAGGAACAGATGTGATTAGGAGCCAATTTGAAAGGTTATTTCTTTTTTTTTTTTTTATCCTCACCTGAGGACATTTTTCCATTTTTTGTTCAGGTAGAGTGGGAGGGAGAGAGAGGAACAGAGAGAGAGAGAGAAACATCGATGTGAAAGGAAGACATCGAGTGGCTGCCACCCGCACAACCTACCTGGGCCGGGGACAAACTGCAACCGAGGTACGTGCCCTTAGCGGGAACCGAACCCGGGTCTCTCAGGACCGCAGGCCGACGCTCTAACAGCTGAGCCAAAACGGGCCAGGGCTGAAAGGTTACTTCTTTAATCTTTGTTTCAGAGTCTGGTCTTTGGTTTATATTATTTTGTGTTCTTAATTGTTATGGGTGGTACAGGAGCACATGAAAAATCAAAGACCATAAAAGTAAGAGGTACCTTGTATTATTTCCTAGCAGTGCTCAGTTGCTGAGGAGGACACTTGTACGGGTTGTCCTCCTCTATCTGAGCACCTCGGGTCAGGAGGGGTGGACCAGACCCTGGCCGGCGGGAGCCGCCCCAGCGCTGTAGTGGCGCTGCCCGGGCTCAGCTCTCCCTGGCGTTCGTTCCAGGCGTGTCTCTGCTGGCACCACCAAGCTCTGTGATCCTGCATTTTGGCCAGTGGTACTGTGCCCAGTGTTTTCATTGTGTCCACGATATTTCACGCATTATCCAGTCGAATGTCAGCACAAAGTTACTTTATCTTTTAAGTAAGCAGATAAACCAAGAAAGCAAAGAACTAAAATCTTTCCCTAAAACTTCAGAGATAGAAATTAGAAACTTAAGAGGACTTCAGAAAATTAAAGGTATTCAAAAGAGATGACTGGAACTCAGCAACCAAAGTAAAATCTAGAAAGAACGAGGCAGGTGTAAACGCCTTAGTCACGTTATCGCGGCCCGTGGCCTGGCCTTCTCAGTTGCTGCGGAGCGATGCCTGCAGCTCTGCTCTCTTTCGGTTCTCGCGCGTAGGGCGCGGGCCGAGGTCCGGAGTTGTGCTGCACTCGAGGGGCTGGATGGAACTGAATTATAGGAGAGGTGAATGTCATACTTTTCCCACTGTTAAAAATGGTACTCTTCTATATTTGAACAAAGTAATAATGGTGACAATGAGAAAAATACAGATCTTTCTCCTTCTTTGTATTATAAAAACATTTAACATTTTTGTCCGACTTTTTCTGATTGTGTTTCTTTTAGGAATACATCTCAGTTTCGAGTGGAGCTGGAGCAGTTGCTGATTTGAATCCGTTTTACCAAAAGTACAGCAGCCGCACTCAGCATGCTCTTCTCTATATGAGCCCCCATAAGATCAACTTGGATCTTATTTTGGAACTCCTTGCCTATTTAGGTATGTGTCAAGTTCTGATTGTCTCCGTTTGCTTTGATAAAACTTTTTCTAGTAGTTTGAAGTGTTTTATTAGTATCTTAGATGCTGTTTCTTATCTTCTTATTTTGAATATTGTATCTTTTAAAAATTGCAGACATAAGTCCCCAGTTCAGAAATATTGAAGGAGCAGTATTGATCTTTTTACCCGGCCTTGCTCATATTCAGCAATTGTATGATCTCCTATCAACTGACAGAAAGTTTTCTTCTGAACGGTAACTACAAATCTATCATATTCCTGGTGGTTTGTAAATAGAAAAATGTTTCATACATTAAAGCTCTTGATCAAGCTTTCAAAGTCTTTTTACCTTCGGTTAAAATTGTCCATGGCGAAGTTAGTGTGTTTTTGTTTTAACATTTCTATCATAGCATTTTATCTACTGAAAATTTGAGGTACACTTTCTGCATTTGCTCTGTCATAGGCAGCCCTGTGCTCAGGAACAGGAAGCTGACCCCTCCCCACCACGGGATGAGCAGAGCCCCGCCAGGGCTGCAGTTCCTGCCGCACGCCCTTCCAGCTGCTGCTGCTGGCTCGCTTTCCGGCGCAGCGCAGCAGCTTGGAGCTCAGAGCCCTGTGTTCCCTGCAGTCCAGCCACACGCACCTTTTCTCTGTGACGAGTGTGTAGGGTTTCACTGTACTGTTTCAGAGCTTTAGTGTGTGTTTAAATTTTTTCATAAGAAAAAATGTCACAGTTGCTTTCTGTTAGCAAATAAATTTTGTTATTGTTTGCAGTGTCTTCTAAAGAGAAACTCTCGCTAAGAACTATGATTTTAACTTTCAGATATAAAGTGATAGCTCTGCACTCTATTCTTTCAACCCAAGACCAAGCTGCAGCGTTCACACTTCCTGCTCCAGGAGTCAGGAAGGTAAGTTCAGGCCAGCAGATGTGTCTGTGACCACAGAGACGGTTTCCTGGAAGTGTATGACCTTGGCATCAAGGACGGTGACTGACGGGGAACACCTTACAGAGCATGGCACTCTAGACCAGCAGTTCTCAACCTGTGGGTTGCGACCCCTTTGGGGGTCGAACAACCCTTTCACAGGGGTCACCTAAGACATAACAGTAGCAAAATTACAGTTATGAAGTAGCAAGGACAATAATTTAACGGTTGAGGTCACCACAGCACGAGGACCTGTATTAAGGGTCGCGGCGTCAGGAAGGTTGAGAACCACTGGTCTAGACGCTCTGCAGCTTAACGCACTCAGAAGTGACCCAATGTGAACGTCGAAGTGTTTGGATATTTATATTACGTGTCACTAAAGGGACAAGACTTCTAGGAGGAATGGTAGTTGAAAAATATGGCAGGATGTTGCCTGTGAAAAGAAAAATCACAACTTTTACCCCAAGAAGGCGTCATGGAGGATGTTGGGTGTCAGGAGCTACTGAGTCCAGGGAGAACTCTTGCTCTTTTCTAGGCTGTCCATGCTGCTGCGGGTGATACATAGACCATCTGGTGGGGAAAGCTCAGCATTCTCTCCGTGCCCGCTGTCCGGGGTCCTGAATGAAGAGATACTTGGCAAGGAGAGTTTCTCAGATTCTGAACCCTCTCTCAGAAGGGGGAAAGGAGCACAGTATAGGAACTGTGGGGAGCACAGAGCTCCCAGAGGAGCCTGGGCTGTGTGATGCAGGGGCCTGGGTTCCCATCCCTGAACTGCTGCCATTTCTGTGGCCTTCGACGGCCCTCTCAGCCTCTGTCTCCTCGTTAACAGCAGCACAGCCTTAGGGCCCTGGTGTGCTCAGCGCACTGAGAAGACCATCATTTCAGTCCTCTCCTCGGACCCCATCTCCCAGCTACCACATCATTTTTAAGATGACTGGCTAGAATTAAGCGAATGGTATTTTTGTTGGGATAAAAATGTGCCAACTGAAGTGTTGAAACTAATTAGAGCAAATTAAAGTGACAGTGTGATAACAAATAGAGTGTGACATTTTAGAAATAAACTTGAAATTCACTTTTAAATTTATCGGCTCAAACTCTCTAAAGTAGTTTACATGATAGCCCATTGCTGAAAATTGTTACCTAAATGTTTTGGCTTCTTGTTTATTTTCAGATTGTTTTAGCAACAAATATTGCAGAGACCGGTATCACTATTCCAGATGTTGTATTTGTAATTGACACCGGAAGAACAAAAGAAAATAAGTAAGTTTGACTTCAAAACACTTTTAACCTGAAAAGGTTGAGAACTGAAAAGAGTTTGTGGCTCTTGAATTCTCAGAAAACACAGAATCATAGCAGGAAAATTCCAGATATTCTAATTCTGCCCAAAGCCAAACTATAAGAAACTTAGAGCGTCGAAGAGTGAATGTCAATTCCATGTTGTGGTTTCCCGTAGTTCCCAGTGGGCTGCTACTTTTAGAAGAGCACTCAGAAAAATTTCAGAACATCAAATTTTGGAAATGTGTTTGTGAAATACACTGTTTTATGAAAGCATTGTTTGTGAGATTATTAAAAAAAAAAGAACATCAGTTTTGAATAACAAATCTAATCTTTGATCTATTATCTTGAGCAAGCAATGTGACCTTCAGTTACAGTCATCAGTTTCCTCACATATAAATGGGGAGCGTGGGACTCTTGTGGCTGAAAGTGTCCAGTCCAGTGAGTGACAAGCAGTGACTCTGACTGACTCTTCATCTAGAAGGTCGCTGCTTTGTAAATGTTTTAATGTTTCTTCACATAAAGAGATGAGACTGCCTTCGCAGTCTGTGGTCATTTGCCAACACAATCCCTAGTGTGGAAGCAGGAGCCGTTTGGAAGTGAGTGTGACTGTCCAGTGCGAAGTGAACCCTTGATTATTTATTTATTTATTTTTTAATCCTCATCCGAGGACATTTTTCCATTTTTTGTACAGAGTGGGAGGGAGAGAAAGAAAGAGAGAGAGAGGGAAACATTGATGTGAAAGGGACACATCGAGTGGCTGCCACCCACACGACCAACCAGGGCCGGGGACAAACTGCAACCGAGGTACATGCCCTTAGCGGGAACCGAACCCGGGTCTCTCCGGACCGCAGGCTGACGCTCTAACCGCTGAGCCAAACCGGCCAGGGCTGAACCCTTGATTATTAACATTACACCTTGCAGTGGTTATCAGCCTTTCTGATGCCGTGACCCTTTCATACAGTTGCTCATGCTGTGGTGACCTCTAACCATAAAATTATTTTTATTGCTACTTCATAACTGTAATTTTACTACTGTTATGTCTTAGGCAACCCCTGTGAAAGGGTCGTTTGACCCCCAAAGGGGTCGCAACCCACAGGTTGAGAACTGCTGCAGAGGAAGTGTTTTCAGGGTTTAACTGTATCTTTGAAAAATATGGTGGATTATGCCCTGGCAGGTTTGGCTCAGCAGTTAGAGTGTCGGCCCGCGTACCAGAGAGGCCCGGGTTCAGTTCCCGCTAAGGGCATGTGCCTCGTTTGCAGTTTGTCCCCAGCCGTGGTTGGGCCGGTTGGGGTTGTGGGTGGCAACCGGTCGATGTGTCTCTCTCTCTCTCTCTCTCTCACTCCCTCTCTCCCTCTCCCTCCCTCTTTGTCTCCCCCTCTACCTGAAGGTAAATGTAAAAATGTCCTCAAGTGAGGATTAAAAAATATATATGTACATAAAATAAACAAGGTTCCATGGTCAGATTAATTTGGGAAAGGGTAAATTAAACAGGTTTTTCTCCTGTGCTAGAGCATTTAATTTGGTGGTACGAGATTTAGTGATGCTTGCTAAGTTATATAATTATGAAATGTGATTTGGAAAATATTGGTCCACAATGAAAATAGACGTTTTTTAGCCAGTCTTGAACTTTATTTTAAGAGTCGGCTATTTCAGCCCTGGCCGTTTTGGCTCAGCGGTTAGAGCGTCGGCCTGCGGTCCAGAGAGACCCGGGTTCAGTTCCTGCTAAGGGCACGTACCTCAGTTGCAGCTTGTCCCCGGCCCTCTTTGGGTCGTGTGGGTGGCAGCCACTTGATGTGTCCCTTTCACGTCGATGTTTCTCTCTCTCTCCCTCCCACTGTATTTGAACAAAATATCGAAAAATGTCCTCGGGTGAGGATTAAAAAAAAACGAGTCAGCTATTTCAGCTTTTTAAGATTTTGATCGAAGGCTGCTATCCATGTACATTTCTTCAGGTACCACGAGAGCAGTCAGATGAGTTCTCTGGTGGAGACGTTTGTCAGCAAGGCAAGTGCCCTGCAGCGCCAGGGCCGGGCCGGGCGGGTCCGCGAGGGCTTCTGCTTCCGGATGTACACACGGGAGAGGTAGGTGCGCCCAGTGCTGCTGTGGAAACACGGCCGTGCAGCAGGGCGTGTTCAATGTACACACGGGAGAGGTGGGTGCGCCCAGCACTGCTGTGGAAACGCGGCGGTGCAGCAGGGCGTTGCCGATGACCTGGAAAGTCATTGCTGTTCTCTTATTTTTCAGATTTGAAGGCTTTATGGACTATTCTGTCCCTGAAATCTTACGTGTGCCTTTGGAGGAATTATGTCTTCACATTATGGTAATCCCTCAGGAACTCAGATCATTTTTTATTTTTCACCCCTTTCTAGAAAAAAAGGGAAGTTAAATTATCTTCTCTTGTGTTACTCCAGATGTTCTGCTTAAATAAACGGCCCCTCCCACCTTTGTATAAGTAGCCCCACTGTGCTTTCATTCCGACACAGGTGCTCTCTCTTCACAGGTTAAAGTGCAGCCTCATGTCCGCCCCAGTACTACCAGGGGACAGCCGGCTGAGTCACAGACATTTTTGGTTGTCAGATTCGGTTCCAGTCTGACCTTCTCATCGTGTTGTGTAAACTCTGTTGCTTGTTTTCAATCTGCAGAAATGCAGTCTTGGCTCTCCTGAAGACTTCCTCTCCAGAGCCTTGGATCCTCCTCAGCTTCAAGTAATCAGCAACGCAATGCATCTGCTCCGGAAAATCGGAGCCTGTGAACTCACTGAGCCTAAGCTGACGCCCTTGGGCCAGCACCTCGCAGCCTTGCCTGTGAATGTCAAGATCGGCAAGATGCTCATCTTCGGGGCTGTATTCGGCTGCCTCGACCCAGTGGTGAGTAACAGCGCGGCTGCTGCTTCACTTTAAATAGCACCTTGGCTGAGAAATTGTGACGTTTGGAAATAATTTTCAACTTTTAATTTTTTAACTAAATAGAGTATACCAACATTAAAATGCAGGAGGTCTGAATGCTTAATGAAAATTTTGAATATTTAACTTTATATACAAGAAAATATATCAATCCATTTACTTCCCTATGCTATAGGTACTGTTTTATATGTGGGTTTGGCTCGTTTGACTTCTGCTATGAAACACCCCACTTGAAGTATTTACTTGATTGAATATGTTGTAGTCCAGCAATTTCAACCCTTCCCATCTCACAGCATATGAACTAATTACTGAAACTCTGCGCATGCCCAAAAATAGATTTTTGCCAATCTGACAAAAAAATAGGTGTAATTTTGATTCATTCCTACCAGATGGCTATTGCTGTGTTAGCTGTTGTCATTTTTAATTTTTTTTTATCCTCACCCGAGGATACTTTTCCATTTTTTGTTCAGATAGAGTGGGAGAGAGAGAGAGAAACATCGACGTGAAAGGGACACATCGCGTGGTTACCACCTGCACAACCCAACCAGGGCCGGAGACAAACTGCAACCAAGATACGTGCCCTTAGCGGGAACCAAACTCAGGTCTCTCTGGACCGCAGGCCGACGCTTTAACCTCTGAGCCAAACCAGCCGGGGCTGTTGTCATTTTTTATTTGGCAGTCTGAGGGAGAAGAGGTCAGTGCCCGACTCAGTCGGGCGCTGCAGGCTGTACACGCCGGTTGAAACGGCTGTGGTAGACAGTTCTTACGAAGCTCTGAGCCCCATAGGCTTTCACAAGTAGAATCAGAGACTGTCTCCCTGCCCTTTTTCTGGGTTATCTCTCTGCTTAATTCTGCCACAGGCGCTCATGCTTTATAGATTGAAGTGCAACCTTATAACCCCTGTGTCAGCACGTACCAGCAGCTCTGTTTTCTCAGACCCTCTCAGAGCCGGCCAGCTGGTGCCATGTCGCAGTCTCTGGGCTCCGGCACCCGTGCTGCCTTTCCAGCTTCCTCAAGCTGTGGCCTTTCCTGGGCAGCAGAGACGTGCCTGGCTCCAGCCTCGTTTTCCCCCGTGTTAGACACGCCCCGGAATTGTGTTGAGTGAGAAAGGAGCCTCTGCACGATGGCTGATGCAGAGCTGCAACGACAGGCGGGGCGTGTGTGGTCCAGATTCCCTTAGAGTGCAGGGGCAAAGCAGGTTACAGTTGGGAGCTTGTGAAACACAGTTCTTTCTTGTAGGGTTGTTTACTGATAATTGTATTATTTTCCATACGAACAACTATAAATTACTTTAGCCCCACCGTGTATTTAAAATGTTTTTTTCTTTATTTGCTTCTAGAGAGAGAGGAAGGGAGAGGGAAAGAGGAATAGAAACCTCGATGAGAAAGAACATCAATTGGCCTCCTCCTGCATGTCCCCAACCTGGACACGTGCCCTGACCGGGAATCGAACTGGCAACCTCTTGGTGCATGGTCGATGCTCAACCACTGAGCCACAACGGCCAGGTCCCACCCTGTATTTAAAGAGCATTGTTGCCCTGGCCGATTTGGCTCAGCAGTTAGAGCATCGGCCCAGGGACCAACGAGTCACGGGTTTGAATTTGGCCAAAGTCGCATACTTTGGTTGCAGTTAGTCCCCAGCCCCTGGTCGGGTCATGCGGGAGACAACCAGTCGATGTGGCTTTATCACATTGGTATTTCTCTCTGTCCCTCTCTCCCTCCCTCCCTCCCTCCCTCCCACTCTATCTGATGATAAATAGAAAAGTATCCTCTGACAAGGAATTAAAAAATAATAATAATAAAAATAAAGACTATTGCCGGCCTGGCCAGTATGGCTCAGTGGATTGGGCATCGTTCCATGGACTGAGAGCTCCTGGTTCGATTCTCAGTCAGGACGTGCGCCCGGGTTGCAGGCTTGATCCTTGCTGGGGAGTGTGCAGGAGGCAGCCGATCCATGTGTCTCTCTCACATCGATGTTTTTATCTCTCTAAAAAATTAATAAAAACATTTTAAAGAGCCTTGCAGGCAGTGGACATGCAGCCAGCCAGGAGTGCAGGTAGCTGAGCTGTGATTCTGGGATGCTTCTACCTGTGACGGCCTGCAGATCATTTCAACTCTCAGTTCTATTACTCTCTCATTCTGGTGATAGTACCTCCTGCCTCACAAAGATGGTATAAAAGTAGAGTGATACTTTTTTTTTATTTATCCTCACCCGAGGACATTTTTTGATATTTTGTTCAGATAGAGTGGGAGAGGGAGAGAGAGAAACATCGATGTGAAAGGGACACATCGAGTGGTTACCACCCACACGACCCAACCAGGGCTGGGGACAAACTGCAGCCAAGGTACGTGCCCTTGGCGGGAACCGAACCTGGGTCTCTCTGGATCGCGGGCTGACGCTCCAACCGCTGAGCCAAACTGGCCAGGGCAAGTGATACATTTTTTAAATCCATAAAATGAATCTAAAAGTAACGAATTAAATGAAAGTGTGTTAGCTCTTGTAGAGCGTGAGAATGTATTGAAAAGAAGCAGGCAACTTAAAAGTGATGTTTTATGACTTTCGTCTTTTACAGATCAGCTGCATGTGCTCCTCTTTTCACTAACTTGTTTGCTTCCCTGGGTAGGCAACACTAGCTGCAGTTATGACAGAGAAGTCTCCCTTCACCACGCCCATCGGTCGAAAAGAGGAAGCAGATCTTGCAAAGTCAGCTCTGGCTGTGGCAGATTCCGACCACCTGACCATCTACAACGCGTATCTGGGGTAAAGGAATCATCGGAGTGTTGTCGAGCCCGGGGGATTTACTTGTTAAAAATTTGCCTGAGACTTTCATTTAAAATACTTAAAATCATATCTAAGATTTAAGTTTATGTTTAGTTATATCATCTTTCAAAGTATAGTTAATTATTTTACAGAGTCATAGTTTTATAATCCTTTCTAAAATTTAAGAACAATATCCTTTGTATTATATGTGTATTACCTTGTATTTGAAGTTAATTTACTGTTATACATAAATAGAAAAAATGTGTATTATGATTGGAATTCTTAAATACAATTGGTGGTTTCTACAGGTAAAATCCCTCCTCTTTTTAAATGATTGTAATTTAAAGTATATGTTGATTAGTTCCTCTGAGAAAGAGAGTTTGTCAAGAATACGTGAACTTTGGTCGTTCTGTAGGTGGAAGAAAGCCAGGCAAGAAGGAGGCTATCGTTCTGAAACAGCTTATTGCCGGAGGAACTTTCTCAGCCAGACGTCTCTGCTCACCCTAGAGGTGAGTCTCCCCGCAGCATCTCACTGGCCGTGCGGGTGAGCTGAGGGGTAGCTGTATTTCGGAAGGAGAAGTGCCTAGGACAGTGCTTGACGCTTTCCCCTCTGGCACTGGGGTGCCCTGAGGGACAGCTTGACCAGCAGGTGAGGACCGGTGAGGGTCCCTTTTCCTGGCAGTTTCAAGATGACTTGGTTGCCCAGCGTTTCCAAGGTGATCAGTGAGTGTTCTTTATAAAAATCATCACGAACTTAGGGACCTAAATATATGCGATGTGTCCCAGTCCTCTGCAGATATTGTTTGGTATTTACACCGTCCCTTCTTTGGACAGTGAGAGTCCTTTAGGTTTTCCGAGTCTTTCATACAACTAAGCAGTCTTTGGTAGCTTCCTTGTTTTGGGAATGGTGTGCATTTTATGCTCCAGGCTTGGAATCAGTCATGTTTCCTACAAGCTCTGGTTCTTTTTAATGAAATTCTTATGCTTTCCTGAATCTTGGCAGCTGCTTAGTTGCAGTGTGGGATGATATTTATGGAAAGGCGTCTGGGGCATCGTCTGCCGTGTGGCTGATTGTGACCATGCTTGTCTGTCTGCTCTCGGTAAGGACACCTGGCAGCTCTGTCCATCACTCAGGACCAGAACTGTGTGTGGGAGGACAGGGAGTGCCAGTGTAGTCCAAGTGGAAAGACAGGGGCTGTGACAAGGGCTCCACACACACTCCTTGGATCTGGGTGCGTGGGGAATGGGGTTTAGTCAGTCATGCTGTGAAAATACCAAGAAATAAACTGTATGCATGTCTTACATGATTCTTCTGTTCTGTGCTTATATTTTAAGAGGTTAAAAACTTTTTATCTGACAAAATTTGACCTATTACTTTTTGTGACTTAATAACTGCTGGATGACAGTGGGGATTTCTGTCAGTGGAATAAGCCTGGTCCTTCTTGAAGCAGATAGAGGGGTAAATTGAGCCACTGTTGGGCACTCAGGATGTGGGAGCCAATCAGCACCCCTTTATCTGTGCTCCAGACCCTCCTGGTCTCCCAAGTCGCTTCTCACCCCTTCCTTCCAAGAGCCTTTCTTGACTCCCCTGGGCTGTGATCCCCCCACCCCCAAGCCTGTGGGGTGACAGCAGCTGTCTGTTGGTCTTTCCTCCCCTGGAATCACAGTCCCTTGAGCCCCAAAACAGAAACCTAAAGGAAATCCTAAATGTAAACATCACCTTTTTAATCACTTGTATCCTGTTTGCTTTGAAAAATGCTCACCCTTCCTGTAGCATTTTCGCTGATGGGCACTACTACTGATGGTAGGAAAAGATGTTAGATCGCAATTTCAGATTAAGTGAAGTTGCCATCAATAAACTTTGTTAAAGTCCTTTAGGAAATTAAGGTGAGATTCGCAGAGACAAATGAAGAAGGTCCTTGCAGTCTAGAGTCAAGATTCCTCCATAGTTGTTTCTCAGTGTTGTTCTCTATATGACCGTCCTTGGGTAATATCTGGTTTTGAAGGGAATGGGCACATTTTTATTGTTCTCCCATTTTAGACATTCATGTGATTTATCACATCTGAAGTCTTGGGGTGGTGGTAACAGATGACTCATTAATCCCTGACTTTCTGTTATCTTTTTTTCCCCCCTAATTTAACTTGGGCTGTAGCAAACTAAAGAATAATTTGGCATCTTCCCAGTTTTGATAGGAAACAGTCATATAAATGCCAAGGTAATTTGGCAGTTTCTCTAATCAGTTATGACCTTGTCTCTTTCCCACCTAAACCAATCTAGGATGTAAAGCAGGAGTTAATCAAGCTGGTTAAGGCAGCAGGATTTTCATCGTCCACAGCTCCTAACGGCTGGGATGGAAACAAGGCGTCACAGACCCTCTCCTTCCAAGAAATTGCCCTTCTCAAAGCAGTGCTGGCCGCTGGGCTCTCTGACAGCGTGGGGAAGATAATCTGCACGAAGTCCGTTGACGTCACGGAGAAATTGGCCTGCATGGTGGAGACAGCCCAGGGCAAAGCGCAAGTCCACCCGTCCTCAGTGAATCGGGACCTGCAGACCTACGGGTGGCTCTTGTACCAAGAGAAGGTGAGTGCTCCTCTTAAATGCCAGCATCGCGGACGTTGTCCTAGCAGTCAGTCGAACGAGATAGGGTGCCCGACGGGTGTGCTGTTTGTTCTCTCCTTGAGCTGTACATTTCTGTTCGTGTTTAAAACCAAGATGTGCATAGTCTCTCGATGGAAGGAAGTCCTTATTCACTAATGAAAGAAAATATTAAGGCTTCTACAGTGACCATCTTCATCTTTCCTACTTGAAATAAACACAGGTGTAGCAAAGATGTTTTTTAAAAATGTATCAATTCACCAGGCCTGTGTGGCTTAGTGGATTGAGAGTCCGCCCATGGACTGAGGTCCCACTTCAATTCCCCGGACTGGCACATGCCCGGGTTGCTGGCTCAATCCTCAAGTAGGGGGCGTGTAGGAGGCAGCTGATGGATGTTTCTATCTCTCCCTCTTTTTCTAAAAGATGCATTATTTATTTTAAAAAATATATGTTATTTGTCAATTTCCTGAGGTCTCACTAAAAGATACTGTCTCCAAAGGGAAAAGACATCTTTTTTTTTTTCTTTATTGATTTTAGAGAGAGAAGAAGGGAGAGGGAGGGAGAGATAGAAACATCCATGAAAGAAAACATCGATTGGCCACCTCCTGAATGCCCCCCACTGGGGATCGGGCCCACAACCTGGGCATGTGCCCTGACCGGGAATTGAACCGGTGACCCCTTGGTGCTCAACCACTGAGCCACACTGGCTGGGCGGGAAAGACATCTTATATCTGCATTTCCAAAGACGGGGACTATGGGAGAACTATATATATGATATGGCAACAGTTTGAGTCACAATGTAACTGAAGATAATTTAATGCAAAATATTTATAGATTACCACTAAAACAGTCAACTGAATCAGAGCTTGTTAAAGTAACAAGGATCCATAATTTCAAGTACTGGCTTAAATAATTCCCAACATATCATCAAACTTAAATGTAAAGCACGAGAAATTACTGACTAATAGCTATAGCTGAACATTGGTCTGGAAACCAGAAACTTTGAAACTTAATGATAATGTTATTTTTGCATTATTAATTGTTAAACAGCATTAGCATTATAAAATTGCTTGTCAATGGTTTTATTTATGTTCAAGGTATACAGGGTGAAGCAAAGGTCAGTTTACAGTTGTCCGTATGGAAAATGATACAGTAGTTAGTAAATAATAGTGTAAGAATGAGCTCTGTATTTTGCATACTCACAATTGTAAACCTAGTTTTGCCCACCCTGTATTACTCAGTCTTAACAATTTGTGTTAAAATGTCTTTTAAGAGTTTCAGTGCACAGGTGGTGATTGTGATCACTATTCATTTGGTTGGCAAATTATGCACATAAGAGAACATAAACATGTAGCTTTAAAAATCTTATATAACTCACAGTATGTATTCCAATTACAAAACAGTCTCATGTGAAACAGATCAATGAGTTTCTGATTTTAGGCTGTGCGGTTTTTCCTTTGTCCCTGTGCAGATCAGGTATGCCAGGGTGTATTTGCGGGAGACGACCCTGATAAGCCCTTTCCCGGTTTTGCTGTTCGGTGGTGACATAGAAGTTCAGCACCGGGAGCGTCTCCTTTCTGTCGATGGCTGGATCCGCTTCCAGGTACACACTGCAGCCCATCTTTCTCGTCACATTACCATTTTGCTTCCACTACCTAGCAAAATGAGGCAGATTCTAGGAATTTTTTGGTGTTTGCATGATGTTTTTCTGTAACTTGACTGAAAGTAGAAGATTGTCTTACCTATGTGGTTTTAAATCTGTTAAATTTGAAAAGCAGATTATACTGCCATTCCAGGCTGCTTTTATCATCAGTGAGAGTCACAGCTTGCCATGGGCTGCACTTCCCTGGCTGACTACACCCTTGTGACCTGTCAGTGTCCTCTCTGCAGATCAGGCGCTTGAGCTCAGTGAGCAGCTAAGGGACTTCCCTGATGACATGCTGTGACTGGTAGAGCAAGGTGCAAACCTAGGACTCTGGTCTGCAGACTCATGCTCCTGCCGCTGCACTGTACCACCTACCAAAGACCCAGATTCATGGCTTTGGCTGCACGGTGTCGAATTCTCTAGAAAACTAGGCCAACCAGTGTTACCAGCAATAAGATTGTTTCTCTGTAACCCCGTCAACACGGTTTAAGCTAAGCAAATCTGATACCTTCTCCCATGGTATACTGTGACAGCTGTCAGTCTAAGACTGGAGAGGCAGATACATTTTAAATGCAACTTAAAATACATGCAGTGTTTGCAAAGAGGCTGAGGTGGTAGATATGTTCTGTCACTGGATGTGGCACAACTCCGTTGGAATGCACACTCATTTCTACACTATTGGATTGCACACTCATTCTCTGACATCATTGGATTATACACCATTCACTGACATTGGGTTGCACACTCGTTCCCTGACACCACTGGATTGCACACTCATTTCTACACTATTGGATTACACACCATTCACTGACATTGGGTTGCACACTCATTCCCTGACACCATTGAATGCACACTCGACAGTGAGTAAGCCTTCTTGGTTTGTAAATTATACCTCAAAAAAGCTGTTTTAAAAGTTCTCACCATATTTATAGACACTTAATGAGGAAACTGAAGTTTGGGTCGCTAAGCTACAGGAAGTGATTTGCTGTGTTTTCCCAATAATGTCCTCGATTAAAGTCAGGATGTGCTGAGGCAGCCTGTCATGTACCTGTGCTGCTCTTGACTCATTTAAACACATTCACGCTCCCGGCGTTAACTGTCCAATTATCTCCTCAACAGGCTCCTGTAAAGATAGCCGTCATTTTCAAGCAGCTAAGAGTTCTCATTGACTCTGTTCTAAGGAAAAAGCTTGAAAATCCTAAGATGTCCCTTGAAAGTAAGTGTTCGATTATAATGTAGGTAGAAAACAGGATATGTTTAAGAGTTGAAGTAAACTGGATAGCAAATTGAAGTCTTAAATTCCAAGTGATTAAAAATTGTTTTGTCTGCCAGTGTGGCTCAGTGGTTGAGCATCGACCCTGCACCAAGAGGTTGCTGGTTCGATTCCCGGTCAGGGCACATGCCCAGATTGTGGACTAAATCTCCAGTGGGGGGCATGCAGGATGCGGCCAGTCGATGTTCTCTCTCATCGATGTTTCTATCTCTTCCTCTCTCTTCTTCTCTCTCTAAAAAAAAATCAAGAAAAAAATTTTTTTAATTGTTTTAATAAAATGTATTTAATGCTGAATTCCATCAGACTCACAGGCAATTATTCACAACCTAATTGTTGTCTTAAGGTTCTTTTAGTTCACTCCTTCCTCCTCTAATCTCCACTTCTAAACTTCTGGCCATCACACAGGAAGAGGACGGTAGAACTAAGCATGTCATCTTGGCTGCTTGTTAGCGCACCAGTGACTGGCACCGCATCGCTGTCCTACATAAGAAGGCGCCCTTCTGTGAGGCTCCCGGCATGCGTCTGCCATCTCAGACGCAGAGCCACCAGCCTGCGGGGGAGGTGCTACTCCTTCGGCAGAGTCTGCGGGACCCTGAGTTTCTAGCCAGTTGGGTGCAGTCAGATGTGCCAGGTCACCAGGTTGTCGTCAAATGACCTCGCAGCTGTTACAACACCAGGTCCAGAGACCTGCCCAGACAACTGATCTGTGCGGGAGACGCTGTGGCTGAGTTACTGTTTCTTCTCTTTTCATCTGTACTCCTTCTCCCGCTGCCTCCTGCCCCCGCTCTCTCAGTGCAGTCACTGCTGCTAACCGGGGGGTTCCTGGGAGGGCTGCCCCGCTCAGGACGCGCTCGGCTGCATCTCCGGGCGGTGAGGTGACGCGTGTCTCTCTCCTGTGTTCACACTGGGTGGTGTGGAAGGCTCGGCTGAGTCAGGTTTTCAGGAGAACACTTTCCAGTCGCTGTGTCTTCCCTTCACTCCGCCTCAGCAAGCTCTTAAATGTGGTTTTCCTGCTTTTGATGATTTTTAGAATCGATTAGTGGGTTCAGTGTGATTGTATTTAATAAACGTCCCAGTTAGTTCTCACGGCCAGGAAGTGGGGTGTAGGTGAATGTGGATGCAGCGGCACTGTTGGGAAGTGGTCAGGCCGGATATCCTGAGATGTGGCTCTTTCCTGAGGGAGGTTTGGGCGCCGCTGCTCGGCCTCAGAAAGAAGTGCATTGTGTCAAGGACAGCTGGGACCTCAGCTTTAAATGAGAAGAGAACTGCAGGAGAATTCCAGCATTCCCCTCTGCCGCAGAGAGCAGCACTCCCCCTCAGGCGGCGCGGGGGCGTCTGCCCTGGGAGGGGGTCTGAACATCTGTGTCCTCTCTGGCTGCGCATAAGACAAGCTGGGGTCCAATGCAAGCTTTTGAAAAGGGAGAAACTGAAGTTGCTCTTCCTCAGATAAATGTCGTGATTTTCTGTAGACCCGCAGTCATGCCCATGTCAGTGACCCCTGGGCCTAACTGTCAGGCCGTGGGCCCACTATCCAAACTCCCCACTGCAGCGCTGAGACTCAGCACCCCCTCGAATCGAAGCGTCTGGTACAAACAGGACTTCAGTCTCGCAGCCGGATGCCTGCATCTCCCTGAAGGGTGGCTGGGCCTTCGGAAGTCACAGTGTCAGAGCGCTGTTAGAAGTAGCAGCAGCAGCTGTTACAGCCTCCTTAGCAAGTAACGTGGCCTCTGTTTGTCCGGCTGCTGTGCTGTGTGAGAAGCCTGTCACGCCCCTTGACGCCTCTGGGAGAGCACCCCTCTGTCTCCTTTGGCCTAAACCTGGGGAAACCGACAGTCTGGCTCTGTACTGTGGCACCTCCAGGGCGTCCGAGCGAGCAGGGGAGAAGCAGGCAGGCTTCTGTCTCAAAGGAGTTTGTAAAGAAGGGAGTCCTCCCAGAGCACTAGCAGTTACATCACATCGTCTCTTCGGGCCTTAGCCTACTTTTTGTCAGAGTAGGTGTGTAAGTACAGCGATCTTTAAACACTGTGTCGGGCAGCGCATTATGTAGGTGTCTGGAGTTTTATAGCGAATGTTGCTGTGTTTGTTTTGTATTTCAATTTAAAGGAAGTTTTTCATGAGGTCTACCTGATGTTTGCGTGTGTATACATTGGAAAACTAGCCAGTGATGGAGTTGTTCATGGGGTTTTTTTCTCCCACTCAGATGACAAGATTCTACAGATCATTACAGAATTGATAAAGACAGAGAATAATAATTGAAACTGAAATTCACGATCAGCTGCTTCAAAAAGATGAAGACACAGTCATGAAATGATGTGGAAATGGACCCTCCTCCCGTCTTTCCGCACCTCAGTGCTGGTACCAGCCACAGCGAAGGCGGCCGGCGAAAGCACACTTTAAACGTGTAATTTTCTAGTTCCTTTTTAATGACAGTTGTTCTCAGTTTATTTGCCACTACATTTACAATAAATTCTTTGGTATCACCCCGTTCAGACATCATTTTGTCCTTTGGGGCAGGGCGTGTGTGCAGTGTCGGGCTCAGTGTTGAGAGTCCCGTGTGCCGGCAGCTCCTCTATCAGCCACTGACGCCTGGGGCGTCTGACCTCGACCGGCAGAGCGCCTCCGAGCCAGGTGGGATTAGATCTCCATGGGAAGGAACAGCGGTACGAGTCAGCTATCTCACGTCTGATTCTGGGAGTCAAAACTGAAGGGGCGCGCACGCTATTCACGATGCCGTGCGTCTCAGGGACGGTTGACTAGCACAGAGGTGCTCGCAGGCTGTGGGGATGCTGGGAGCCACACCCTTCAGCTTGAGGGAGAGAGAAAACATCTCCACTGCCTCCTGCACGCCCCCCACTGGGGATCGAGCTTGCAACCTGGGCATGTACCCTGACCGGGAATCAAACGGAGACCTCTGTCATGGGAGGACACTCAGGCCACAGCCACAGGGCCGGGCCATGTAGCTCTGCACGTGCGGCCCCCTGCTGTGCCCGGTGCTTCTGGGTCTTTACCAAACAGACTCCCACTTCGATGTCACCTCCACGGACCTCCCACTGACCCACTGCACGCCGTTCTGCAGCGCATCTCCCCTCAGTCCCTCCGACAGCACGGAACTTCTGTGAGCGTGGACTGGCTGGGTGAAGGCAGGGGGAGGGGAAGGGGCAGGAAAAGGGGCAGTGGCATAAGCTCTCTCGAAGGGGTTACACACTGAGAAGAGACTACGGGATTAAGGAGCAGGTCAGCCTTTGGAGAGCAGTTCGAATACAGGGTGGTGGGGAGCCCCCCATTTGGTGACTCGCTGGAGGACGAGGATGGTATCCCACAGGATCAGCAAGGGAGAATCCTGCCATGCGGAAGCTGCAGGGGTCCCGGCACAGGCTCCTACCTGTGCAGTGCTCTGCCCAGGGGAGCCCACCTGAGACTCCGAGTCGAAGCACTTTACTGGGGGCTGGTCGTGTAGGCACAAAGACCAGAGCCATGACTATCAAAATTCCAGACTCCCAGAAGGAAAGGAGGCCTTCCGTGCCCCAAGCAGGCAAAAGTGTTTTCTGGAAACTAAGGCCCTTTCCCAAAGCCCAGCTCTCAGGCGCCCGCCCAGAGCCGGGCCTGCTATGCCAACTCCTCCCTGCACAGTCGCAAAGCTCACTTTCAGGGGGTGACTAAAAACAGAAAGGTAGGGCACCGAGTCGAGAGCACTATTTACAGAGGTGATGAAAAAAACGAAACGAGCTTAAAGAGGGAGATGCTTGAGGATGGGAAGGCCCTCACTGCCTGCAGACACAGGAGAAATGACCAGCGGGGAGTGAGGATGATTTAACTCAGAGGGAGCCCAACAAGGGACAGGGAAATACAGGCAACAACCTGGAGGGGCTTTTGGCCTGGGGCTTCCCCCAGCATGCTCAGTGGCTTGGGGAGGTGAGCAGGTACCCCCGACAGTGGCGGGTTTGCATTCACGTGGCCATGGGCTCCGAATGAAAGACACCGGCTCACTGGAATGGTTGACCAAAAATGCTTACCTAGAGGCAAATGGGGCCAGGGCAGAGGCTGAGGGGTCAGAGGTCAGGATCTTGTGCCAAATGCATGCTTGTTGTTTCAAGTCCTTTGCTCCCCTCCCCCACTGTTCTGTGTGATTCCTTGTGGACGGTTTCCACCGATCTGTTCATTGATCCTGTCTTCTGCTGCATCCGCACTGCTGCTAAAGCCATCCGAGTGCTATTTTCAGATGTTGTGTTTTTCAGTGATACGCTGATTTGATTATTTTTGATAGATTTCAATTCTTTTTTTGTTCATTTTGTCCATCTCGCCCTATGTTTTCCTTAACATACTTAAGTCCTCGTCTACTAACTCTAATAACTTATCTGTGGATCATTCAGCTCCTGCTGTCTGTTCATGGTGTTTGCCAAAGTCAAACTATGTGACCAGATACTGGAAAGTGATCACTGCTCTGAGCGAATCAGAAGGCATCACCCAAAGGACAAAGATGATCACTGTGCCAGGAAAGATGTGATTATTCTCACTAGGCCCTGGGACGAGAAAGCTGGGGTGTCCCTTGGGCAGGAAACCGGATCTGCGGAGAGTCGACAGCGAGCCACAGCTGGAGGCAGACACAGGGAGTATTTTCTGCTGCCTCACGGGAGGCAGGTGTCGCTCAGAGAGCCTGTCGAACAGGGAGACCAACCTCAGCATCAGGTTAGAGTCACAGGTAAAGAGACAACTTCACCAAGGTACCAGCCGTACGGATGAGCTGGTAAGTAGGCTTTAGTTTAGACCAACCAAACCAGCCCAGAAACATGGGTCCGGGATAGGGGCAGGGCGACGGGAGGAGAGCCTTCGAGAACGTGCAGAGGAGTGGAGAGAATCTGAAGTCCGGCTCGGGCATCCTGAGCGCAAGGAGGGATCTCCGAGGCCGTGCGGAAGGGAACGCTGTGGAGCTGTGGCGTGGGCGGCTGCCGAGGACGTACATCCGGGAACAGCAGGAAGCCGCCAGAGTAAAGAACGGCATCCATCAAATTCTCCAGCCAGCCAGGAGTGCAGACCGCTGGGTCCGGACAGAGGCACGCGACTCGCTAGTGCCAGGCTGGACTCTAGAGTCAGGAGCCAGCACTCTCAACGCATCTGTTCCCAGTTTTCAGATGCCGGCTCTTTGGATGTGCTTTTCCCTGTGTCCTACTCAGATGCCTGTAAGGTAGCAGCCTGGCTCTGGAGAACAAGAGAAAAGGGGCAGGTGACGGGGCAGCTGTGGCCCGGCGGGAATACCTGGACTTTCTGTGAAGTGCAGCCCAGCAGAAGCAGGGTTGGCCGTGCGTCTGGCCGAGGGTTTTCCCTTTACTAACCCATGTACTCAACCCAAGAGATGCCATGGTTTTGGCCTAGAACCAGTCATTTTGAGATCAAGTGTCTCACACAAATTACCTTTTCCCTTCCAAAAGGCCACAGGGTTTTAGTACCTATTTAACTTCTATGTAGATGGCAGAACTTGGAGACTGGTAGACACACACACACACACACACACACACTTTACAGTTCATTGTAAAGATGGAATTATTTGCCTCAAATCAGTCTGCTGAAAGCTATTAATGAGCAAGTCCTCTTCACGGTGGAGGCCTCGCCCATCCTTTTCCTGGCGGGGTACCATTGTCTGTTCATCCAGTCCCCAGGGGGAATGGTCACACCAGCAGGCAGCCAGCACCTTCGAGGGGGCGGCCTGAGGAGGGGCCAGGAGGGAGCTGGAGAGCAAAAGGGGGGACACTGAGCAGTGTAAACCTAAGAGTAGCTGGTTTCAAGGGGAAATCTCAGGAAAAACGAATATACAAGGTGTGAATGAAAAGGAACAGTAGCAAAAATGGGAGGGTGCAGGGAGACGCTGTTTATAGAAAAGGTGTCTGGGGACATAGGTAGGAGCCCTGTACCTGTTTGCGGTTTTGGACGGTAAGCATTTGTGCTGACAGAAATTTTCCCTCTGCTTCTTTAACGTTAGCATCCTAACAGCTCTAGATAAATGTCAACAGAGACGTGCAAAACCTAGGGTGACTTGGTTTCAGGAAGTCACCTTAGAGTGAGGGACGTATGTCATTGTAACACAACTTCCTGGAATGATTAACTAGGTGAAGAATGGTATATACATTTGATGGGAAACTATAGCTATTGAAAATCATGACTTTGAAGGATATTTAATGAGTCGGGGGAAATGCCATCACACAGTGTTCAGTGCGATAAGGCAGACGGGCCAGAGACAAGGCAATGCCCTGGCACGCTCTCCTCCCGCCAGGCACACGAGGAGCGTTCCCAGCACCGGTAGGGTCCTGTGCTTGGCTGTCTCCTCCCCGGGATGTGAGCAAAGACGACGAGGCGCGTGCTAGTCCTTGGCAGTAAGGAACCACTGCCGGTCTGCGCGGCAGACTCTCCCGAGCCGTGGCCAGGAGCGCAGACCCCCGGAGACCTGACTGCACACCAGAAGCATCTCTCCCAGGACCGCCCGACCTGCGAGGACCGTGCAGGGGGCAGGACACTGACCTGCGTGTCTCTAAGGTCACGTTCGGCTGGGAGGACAAAGACTACAGGAGGATACCAAACGACACATATGTGCGTCTGCATTGTGATACGTTCAGACATACGCACCGGTAACTGAAAGAGCACACACCAAAGTGCCAGTGTATTCTGTTGGGAAACCGATATTAAATTTCTCCACTCATGCCCTGGCCGGTTTGGCTCAGCGGTTAGAGCGTCGACCTGCGGTCCTGAGAGACCCGGGTTCAGTTCCCGCTAAGGACATGTACCTCGGTTGCAGTTTGTCCCCGGCCCTGGTTGGTTGTGCGGGTGGCAGCCACTCGATGTCACTCGATGTGTCCCTTTCACGTCGATGTTTCTCTCTCTCTCTCTGTTCCTCTCTCTCCCTCCCACTCTACCTGAACTAAAAATGGGAAAGTGTCCTCGAGTGAGGATAAAAAAAAAAAAAAAAAAAATTCTCCACTCATTATGATTCTTTTCTAATTTTATTACAATACACAGGCGTTACTTTTCTAGTCAGCATACACAATCAGTCTCTAACGAAAAGCGCAGGGTGGACACGGAACGGAACCGGCGGCCGCACCGAGCAGAGCCAGGGTGCATGCTCCTGCCGCCCTGCGGGCGGTCCCCCTGAGGCAGGCACGCGCTCTAAATGCGGCTCTTTGGTGAATGTGATCTTCACAGCGCTGTGTCAGACCTAGATGGTGGCCCTGGCCCGTTTGGCTCTGTGGTTAGAGCATCGCCTGCCGACCGAAGTGTGGTGGGTTCAATTCTGGTCAAGGTCAACTTAACACACCTGGGTTGCAGGTTTGAGCCTAGCTCCAGTCAGGGCCGTGCAGGAGGCAACCAGTCGATGTGTCTCTCTCACATTGATGTTTCTCTCTCTAAGAGAAACCCAGCGCCCCACCCGCCCCACTCCGAACCCACACGGCTACCCAGCGCCCCACCCCCCACCCCCCACCCCCCCACTCCGA